GGGGGGGGGGTCCAGCGAGGAAGGGATGCAGAGTTCGGTCAGAGGCTTGCCGCAGTGGGGAGGAGAGAGGGTCAAGGTGTGAAGAGAAGCAGCCGCCCCAAGGGAAGGGGCTGGGAGTGGCTCCAAGGGAAGGGGCTGGGAGTGGCTCCGAGGTGACAGGGACCGGGGGAAGGCAGGCCTGGGGCGAGATGAGGGGGTGTCTGCGAGGCTGTGGCGGTTGCTGGCCCGCGCGGGCTCTGTGCCCCCTGAGACGGCCCAGACCACCCGGGAGGAGCTCCCAGCCTCGGATGCACAGCCCCCACTCTCAGGTCCCACGTAGTCTCCCTCGACCTGCGTGTCTGTCCCCACCTGCCTCCACCGCCGCCTGCACTGTGACGGGCCCAGCAGACAGCACACGTGGGGGAAGGGGCCAGGCCCAGGGCAGCAGCTGTCAGGCGGCCGATTTCAGCCCAGGTTACCCCGTCTGCACACCTTGCCCTGAGCAGCCTGTGCAAACCAGAGCTGCTGGGGCTGCGGCCACCCGACAGAGCCCTGACGGTCTCCCGCCCCTCCCCTGCTTACAATGCCATGTCTACTTGGAACACACTGCCCTCCAATCTCCAGATATGACCCCTTTCGAGGCCGCGTGAAACGCCCTCTCTCCCTGCATCCCTCACTTGCGATGTGTCCTCTGAACCTGGATGTCCACTAGGCATCTCCAGAGTCACTTGTCCAAACCCAAATGCCTAAGGCCTGCTCCTCCCCCCACACAACAGGTTCCCCTTTTTTATAAAGACAAACACCTTCTTCCGGTGGCACTTCTTTTGCTCACACCCCACTTCCTGTCAACAGCAAATGCGGGCAGCTTCACCTTCAAATACCCAGTTATCTGGCCACTTCTCGTTACTTCCGCCGTCCCCACCCTGGTCCAGGCCACCGTCTTCTGTCCCTTGGATTCTGCAGTAGTCACCAATTGCAACAGATGCCTTTTTTTTCTCCCAATAGTGGCCAGAGTGGTCTTTCCAAAATGGAAGTCAGGCTCGGCACAAACTTTCCGGGAGTAAAAGCCAGGAGTGGCTGACAGGGCCCAGCTGCAGCTCTGGGACCCTCGCCATCCCCCTCACTCCCAGGTTCTCTTTCTCCAGCCTCTCTGGCTACATCCCTGTGCCTCCAACATAGCAGACCACTCCGCCCCAGGGCCTTTGCACATGACTTGCCCTCTGCCTGGATGTTCTTCCTCAGATATTTATAAGACCTTTATTCTCATTTCCCATGGGTCGCAGCTCAAACACCATGCTTGTCAGAGACGCCTTTCTTTCCTGACCTCCTTATGAGAACCATTTGCTCCTCTGACCTATTTTTCTCCATACTATCAGTGCATGTTTGTTGATTGTCTTGCATTCCACCATAAAAGGTCAGTGAGCTGAGGGCAGAGGTCATGTTGACTTTGCTTGCTGCTCTGTGCCTGGGTCCCTGGACCAAGCCTGTCACAGAGTAGGAGCTCCAAAATATTTATGAATGAATAAGTGGACATTGCCTTCTAGCCTTCTCCCAGGGCACACACCCTCTTTACATCATGCTATAAGTATTTGTGTGCCTGCCCTGTGATAAGCTTTGTGTCTGTTTCAGGCCCCTGCCTGACCCCTAACTCCCCTAACCCACACTCAATAGAGAGTCCCACACAGAACAGGTTTTCAACAACCTTTGGTGGACAATTGACAGTACGGAAAGATACTTGCTCCTGAAACATCCCTGCCTATCTCTGAAGGATGGAGATTCAGCTGGGCTGGGAGGTAGGAAATGCTTTTAGAAGTTTTGCATGAAGGCGGCTTATCAGAGAAGAGAATATGGAGCAAGGAGATCGGATGAGTGTGTGCCCTCTGATGGGCTGCTGAGTCAGACAGACCTCTTCTCTCCCAGAAAGCATTTTCTCCAGTTCTTCCCAAATGCCAGGGCTGTTCTCTCAGCAATCCTTTGCCCCTTCTGCAAATCTGTGACACTTGGCTGCACTGCACGCTACTCTTTCTTGACTCTTCATCTGCCCTGGCCCACGGACTTACCGCCTGCGATGAACTTCCTCTCCTTAGAACGTAAGTGTGGATTTAGGTAGATCCTAAGACACTGTGACTGTTAAGCACTAGGAGGAAGAGGCGCTCCTCTCTGTGTCTAGACAGTCACCCACCCCTTCCCCAGCCCGTGTGTGTAGGAGTGTCCCAGGGGACACAAAGCCCAGGGCCTACCCACCTGTGGGGAGGCAGGCCATCCATGGCGTCTTCAAAGGCCCGGTGGAGGAGTGTGTCTTCACAGTTCAGGTGGATGGGGCACTGGTGATGGGGCAGTGGCTGGCCTCCGGGAGCACTGGGGGCCGCCAGGAAGTCAGGCAGCCTGTCGACAGCCACTGAAGGACCCAAGAAGAGGCGAGGGCCCAAAGGCCTTGGTGCTTGGCCTCCAGGATCCTCCTTCTCTGCCCATCACCCTGCTTACCCAAGGGGTGGATTGGAAAGAAAAAGTATGGGGGGCAGGGTGGAGGCGAGGGAGTAGAGATGATGATATAAGTCAGCTTTTCCCAAACTGGGAGATTTTCTCACTCAGATAACGTCAAAAGAGACAGCTCTGCAATCTGTGAGCCTCTTACCGTTGATCTTGGTAACAGGTGACTTGGTGTCCAGCCTGGGAGATCCTCTCCACGAACTCCTTAGGAAACCATTCCTGGAAGAAGGTTCTGTGAAAAGGCCTGGGGATGGCTGAGGCCCCAAGGGGGCTGCCTTCTTCCTTTGCTCAGGGTGGTCCCTCAGCCTCCACTGCCAGGACCTTTCTATCCTTCAGAGCTCAGCCAAAGCAACTCTTCTGTGAAGGCCTCCTGGATCCCGCCCCCCGCCCCCAGCTCATCACTAACCACCTCTTCCTTTGAACTCTGCCTGAGCAAATGTAAGTGGTCCACACCAACTCCGACTTTGGATGTGGCCCGTGGGCTGAAGGCCCCTTTCCTCCTCCAGTCTGTAAGCTCTTGAAAGTCTTGATTATCTCAGAATTATCTTGACAAGATGCTTTTGAACCGATGTTTGTTGAATTTTCTTAGTGGAATCACTCAGAAAAAGTGGTGCCTTGTCCCCCCAAATAAGTCCCAAGAATGGTTGGGAGCCCCATACTCACATACGGATTATCATATGTTTTGGTGACAGGGGAGGTGCGATCAGTTGCAACACCTGCCCCCAATCCTCACCCCTCCCTGTACCCGCACACCTTTGTAGTCTCTTCCCACTGTGACCCTGGGCTTGGGGCAAGGTGTACGCTAGCAAGTAGGATGCAGACAGAATCCTGAAAAACACCTGCGTGAGTGGGTTTGCTCGCTTTTGCCCTCTGCCAGGTTGGAGAACATGCCTCACTGATCATACTGGAGGATGAAAGACACACAGAGCAGAGCTGGTCAACCTGGTCATTCCAGCAGAAACGGTCTTGGACTAGCCATAGCCAGCCCGCCTGGGCACATGAGCAAGGCCCGCCAGGATAGCAGGGCCCACGTTGACCCACAGCTGATGGAAGGTGCCTGAGCAAGCCCAGATCAGCTGAACTCAGCCAGGTTCAACTGAATTCTCCAGTTCTGCGTGCTAAGTCAGTATTTCTCATTAAATGCCCAGAAGCTTTGTGGTTGTTTCACGCAGCATTGATACGGCCATAGATAACGGACACAGACGGTGGAATCAGAGTTGGTTAGAGCAGCGAATCAGGGTGGTAGGATAACTCTGGGTTAAAAGTCAGACCTGGGTTCTAACTCTGGTTCTGCCAATTGCCAGCGGCATGGCCTAAGTCACCTCATTCCCCTGGACTTTTCTCCCCACGTGCGAGGCTTCTTCCCTGTTTGCTACCTGCCTGTTAGGTAAAGGAGAGAAGGACTGGCTTCCCCTAGTGCAGAGAGAGTGGGCACTTGCATCTCCCGCCTTCATGTAGCCCTGGCGCCCTTGACCAACACCCCCCCCGCTCCCCCATCTTGGCAGACATCTTGCTCCAGCCCCCAGGCCTCACCGTGGTGTCAGCTTCAGGAAGCTGGCCTGTGGGGATGTGTTTGACAGCACCACTTTGCTCCTCACCTCCGAGCCATCTTGTAGCATGACTCCTTGGACGCGCCTTTCATTGCTCACCAGCACTTTAGCCACTGTCCAGAGCCCACCAGAGCGAGGCCCCGGAAACCCCCCAGGAAAGAAAATACAGGTTGGATCTTGGGGGATTTCCACTGTCTGTGCTGCTCCTGGGCGCTCACAGCTTCCGCATCTGATTCCACCCTGCTGGGCTCTGCGGCAATGTGGTGAAGCCTCAGCCCACCCACTCCAATGCAAAGGCTCGGCTCGAATGGGGGCTAGGGGCCAGAGCATTCAAAGGGGGTGGTCAGAAGAACTGGGACCTGGTTGACAGCTGCTCAGCCATTAACAGGCTGCACAAACTTAGCCCCTTGATTCCAAAGCCCCACTTTGTGCATTGGTAAAATGAGGAACCCTCTCTCTGAATTTGACATTTGGTTCCAATACTGGGATCCCGGCAAATAATCGGGGTGGGGGGGAATTCACCTTTTCAGTGAAGAGGCTTGCTCCGTGTGCGGTGGCTGAGCTTGAGATGGCATCAGAGAGGGCACCCATGCCGCCCTGGACATAGCCCCAGGCTAGCTGCATCTCCCCCAGGCCCCCCATCACGTGATGGAGCAGCACATACCTGAGGACAGACTACTGGGGTCAGTGGTTGGAGGTGCGGTTTAACTCCCCAGAGCTCTAGGTGCAAACAGTCCTTTCTTTCTGGTACCTTTAGCCTCTCCCTGTCCCCATGCTGCCTTTCCCATCAGCCTTTAAATGGGCTCTAGGCTCCTGTAAGGCCTTTTGCCTCACGCCCTACATTCTCTGCCCATGCAAACCCGTCTGCGGGCAGAGCTTTAGCACCAACCACGCGGCGGCGATGCCCAAACCCGCAGCCCTAACTCTCTCCTGAGAGCCAGCTACCCCAGAGATCCCCACTTGAGTGGGGTTTTTTGGCTGGCAGCTGAAACCCATCTCTTTCCCCATTCCCCAACCTGTTCTTCCTTCATTCCCCCCATCCTAGTGACGGCAGCTTCCGTCTCCCACAGAAAGCTGAGGGCCAGTCGTGCGACTCGAACACGTGCCTCACCACCTCCATGCCATCGGGCGCCATCAACCCTGCCTCCCAAAGAACTTTCCAGTTCCCCCTCCCGGAGACCTCTTTCCTGGTCCCGGCCTGTCCTCTCTTCCTTCCACTCCTGCAGGGGTGTCCTCCTAGTTGGACCACCTTCTCCCACTCTTTCTTCCCTGAAGACCTGGAGCCCCATCGCAAGCTTAGCCAAGTCCTGCCACTTCTCTCCTTGGATGCCTTTGCCGGCTCAGCATTGCTCTCAGGGGCCTGGCCAGTTTCCGGACACGCCTCCAGGGCTCCTGCCTCATCCCCCAACAAGCTCCCCCTCTCAGCCTGCACTCCTGCCAAAGCAAACCTCCCCATGGTCCCGGCTCAGCCCCCAGCGTTTGCACGGGCCGATCCAGCAGCCTAGAAGCCCCGTCCTCCCTTGTGTCTGTTTAGCTAATTCCTCCTGTCCTGAGAGGCTCAGATTAGGTGTCTCTTCCTCGTGGAGGCCTCCTCTGATGCTGGACAGCATTGCTTCCCTGCCCCACCCGCATCCCAACCCTCACAGAGCTCCACTATCATCACTTGCTCTTTGTCTACCCCTCCTAGGAGGGTCTCAGTGCCCTTCATGCCCTGGCCCTGCCCCTGGCACAGGTAAGGGCTCCATCAACATTCACTGGAGAAATTAATGAAGAAACAAATTACTTAAAGGCGCACTTCACACACTGGGCAGTAGCTACGCCTCCCGCAGAGTCACAGAAAAAAGGACAGGAGGTCCCAGTGGAAGATCCAAACTGGCTGGTGGATCATAGAGTTGGCCGAGGCAGGGCAACCATTGCCAACCCCCCTTTTCCATGGCCCTGGGGAATTTGGAGCTGGCTTAGTGTGTGCTGAAAAACCACTTCCAAGGGTGGTTCTCATCCTTTGAGAGAAAAGCCACACTGACAGCTTCTAGCTGCATCTTCTGATGCACTGGAAATGGCCCAACCCTTGGCAGCATCCTCCATCCCAAGACACAAGCGCACACACGCACACACACACCCCCTCCCTCCCTGCTCCTACCAGGGGCTCATTAAGTCACACCACAGGGGCAGACTTCACTGGGTCTTGCTGCCCCCTCTTGGCTTGGCTGTCAACAGCCCCCCTCACAGAGGGAAAGGAGTGCCCCACCCCCACTGCCATGAAGGCACCTGTGCGTGCGTGTCCTGGGACCCCAGGGGGTCAGAGGGGCAGTGGAACTTTGTGGGAGGAGAAGAGCTAGAAAGAGGGGAGAGAGAGAAAAAGAAGCAGGAAGAGGAGGAGAAAGCTGTTCATGTTGAGCTATCACAGTGGGAGAGAGGCTTTTCTCGCTGCAGCATTAGGGAGAAGTGGCTAAGAAGGAAGATTCTGGAGGGTCAGCTGGGAATCAGCTCTGCCACCACTAGCTGTGTGACTTGGGGCAAGACCTGTCCCTTCTCTGAACCATGGCTCTCAGGTGTTGCTTTGAGGGTTCGATGAGTGCTTGGCTTCATGCCTGGCTCGCTGGGAGAGCTTGGTGAGAGACAGCTGTTCGCACTCCTGTTGGGAGATTCACTCCGCTCCGCTGCACCCCACCCCCTGCCCCGCACTCACCCAACTCCCCGGAGTGTGGGGACTTGTCATGGCTCCAATCACAGCATCCGTGGCCAGAGTGGCTTTTAGAGGCTCGGACTCAAACCACTAATCCAGCACCCGGGATGGCAAAATGGCAGGGAGAAGGGCATGGGGCCCCGGGGAGAGAGTCCCCCTCACTGTGGGGCCCAGCCGGAGGCTGGGGAGCCCCTCACCTTTGTAATTGGAGCTGTGAGGACCTGGTAATACTGGGGCAGCTGGGCTCCCAGCACATGACCTGAAAGAGAAGACCCATAAAACATAAATTGAGACAGGAAAGAAGGAGTCATTCCAATGTGTGGTATCTCTGTTCTCATTTCTTTATCTGTAAAATGGGAGTAATATTTCATATCCCCAAGAGCTACTCTAAGTTCTTTGGGAAGCTACAATAGTAGCTACTATAAGCCACTCTGAGTAGCTACAATAAGCTACTATTTCATGTCCCCCAGAGCTATATAAGGAATAAATGACATGTGTAAAGTGTTTGCAAGTTCATAGGCACTGAATAAGTTCTAGTGGTTGGAATTATTTTTGGAAAAATGTTAACTTGTACCTTAGTCCCTTACTTTGAATTCTGTAAGGCCCATCCCCTAGGAGGTAGCCACCTAGGCCGGCCCACAGCTCTGAAGCTGATTCCCACTATCTCAGAGAATAACTGGGCAGTAAGGCCCCGAGGGCATGGATCGTGATCTCTAGCAATTTTAGCCCCAGTGCCTGGCTTAGTGTCTGGCACATAGCACTTGCTTAATAAATTTTATCGCATGACGCTTCTTGGACTGGTCCTCTGAGAGGCAATGTCTACTTGTGGCGTTTGTGATAGATTCTACTGGCTCTGATCCTTCACTCCTCCCCGTAGCCACACACTTTTTCCCAGCAACTCTGCAGTACCTCCCACTGTAGCTGGGATGACCTGCCCTGCTCCTTGAGTCTGGGCTCACCCACGTGATTCGCTTTGGCCAATGGGATGTTTACAGATGGGAGGCAAACAGATGCTTGAAACTGGCCCACACATTGCACTATGCTTCTGCCATTGACGTAAGATGGCCATGCTGGGACCAGCCTGCTGCTTCCAGGAGGAGGGTGGGAAGCACCTGGAGCACAACTAGCCTGGCTGATATGCCCCAGCCATAAACCCCCATGTGAGACCACACCAGACTGGACTGTGCAGACACATGAGAAATAGAGGTTTATTTTTACATGCTCCTTGAGTTTTGTGGCTGTTACACAGCAATTTTTGTAGCCATAGTTAAGTCATTCAGCACTTTTCTAGAATGCAGAAGCTAACCTGGTCTTCATATCCTGGAAGAATGGTAGAAAATAGCAGCATGCTTGGTGAAATGTCCCTTCTCATACCCGTGGCAGACATCCCCAATTCATCACAGAATTTTTTCTTGCTGAGCCCAAATCTAACATCCTTCCTGTATGGGGGCATCTCTCCAAACTCTCTTGGCCCCTCTCTCTTATTTTAGCCACGACTATGGTGACAAGCTCCATGCAGGCTTCAATCAGCTTCACACGGTAAAACCTGACAGCATCTCACCTCAGATCTGTGGGACGCGCCTCACTGTTTCTTCCCCAGGGTGTCTCTGGTACCATGACAGGACGCCCACAGGAACCCACTTGGCACCCATGGATGCACTGCCCAGAAGTTAATGTTCCAGGTGGGACTTAAACCCCATGGGGCACTCTTTGCCAGTGGGGGACAGAACCTGATGGATAAATGTTTCCCTTTTTTTCTCAGGGGAACTGTCCTGACGTGCACTTCATAAGGCCGCCTGGGTGGTCCTCCTGGGATCTAGCACCTGTCACATGTGGTAGTAGCCAGCACAGTAGCACACCCTGGGACTGAACCTTCCTCTTTCCAGTTTCACTCCCCCTTTCCTTGGGGTCACCCATCACAATGAACTACGTGCTTACAAGCCTTCACTTCAGGCTCTATTTCTAGGGCCGCCAGGCTAATATCTGCTCAGCAGAGTGCTCTGGAAAACCCCTATTCATGGACGGCAGTTGGCAGGCTTATGAAGGTTCAAGCTCATGTCCAATCATCAAGAAAATGGGCTCAACATCCCGAAGGTCACTCATCATGCCTGATGCCTGCGCTTTGGACTTACCTGCCTGCAGCAGGGGCTTGAGCGTGGAAAGTGACTGGAGCCTTTGCAGCAGGGAACCCCTCTGGAAGGCCTCATGTCCACGGGGAAAGCGTCCAGCAGAGGGTCTATGGCTAATGTCAACCGATTCATGAACGCCTCATATTTGGGAAAGGCCTGGAACAGAGAGCTCTGAGTCAAGGCCCCACTGCTTAGCATTCCACGAGGACATTGCCCCCATGCTCTGACCTCCATCCCGTCCGCACATGGCCTGCGGCTCCTACCCAAGCCTCGGTGGCTCCTCAGCCCTCACGCCCAGCCTTGGCTCAGCTCGGCCATGGAAAATTACTCCCAGTTCCAGGCCTGTGAGCTGACGTCAGCACTAGGGGAGGCCAGAGAGATCCTAAGCAGATGAGCCACCAGGGTGGTGGCAGGGACAAGGGGTTATGCTGGCTGAGACCAGCTGTCAGCCACAGAAAACTGGCAAATATCCTAGCATGTGGTCTCTGTGATAAACCAGAAAACCACTTAAAATTTCTTCTCTCTGTCCTGTCTTTCCACATATTACTGGTGGAAGTAAGATCTCTTCCCCTGTATTGCAGCATGATGACTGTTCTTTCCTGGTCTGCAAATCTATGTCCTCTTGACATACACAGAAACAGAAGCCTACATCACTTCACCCAACAAGCCCCAATAACAGAATCCATTCCTTTTCTCTCTTCTCCTTTCTCCTTTCTTTCTTTCTTTCTTGCTTTCTTGCTTTCTTGCTTTCTTGCTTTCTTGCTTTCTTGCTTTCTTGCTTTCTCTCTCTCTCTCTCTCTCTCTCTCTCTTTCCTTCCTTCCTTCCTTCTCTTTCAGAATCCATTTCAATAGCATGGTTAGAACACACACCTTTCCTTTGCTGGGTGGGCGACAGGAACATGGATGGATGCCTGTGCCACTGGCAGCCCTGTCTTGATCCCCAGCCCCCAGCTTTCAATTTTTGGTTCATCTATACTAATGAATATATCCATAGAATTTTAATAAGGTTGCATAAAAAAAAGTTCGGCACTGAAGTATGTTTGAGAAGTCTTGACAAAAATTACTTTAAACCGCCTACAGTAGGCCCCCCACATGACAATCTGAGAAGACAAGATCAGAAAAGGATTTCCTTACTTTCCACAGTGGAATGTGGCCCCTGCCTCCTCCTGTGGTTACTAGCATGCCAGCCACTGTCCACCAGGCCCAGCGATGTGGCCTCGTCCTGAATCCTCTCCAGTGCACTTGGGCAGTTCAGGGTTTCGAGGAGAGGGTGGAGGCCCTGACTCCCAACCCATTGCACAGAAAAGAAGCCGTTTCAAGAAGCAAGCTCCCCAGGAGTTTCTGATCATCAGCCAGCCTTAGAAGCCACTGATTGAGGAGAGATACTGTGGGGCCATGGTTCTCTGGGTTTTACCCAACACTAGATTACAAAAAGCAACACATGTGGCTTGTATCAACCTGGGTTTCTTATGAAAACGTCCTCAATGGGATAGGAGTTCATGCTGTGCCTTCAGCTCGTATTTAGGCTTGGTACAAAAATATGTCCCTTCCCAAAGAATCTATATCTGCAAAACCAGTCACATCACGTCCATAACATTATTCAATGGCTCATATACATGAAGCTACCCAACAAATTCCTTATAATGCAATCCCAAGAAAAAAATGTGCATTCTCCATCAGACGTATGTCTTCCTTCCACCAGACCTGCATGCTCTCATGGACAATTTCTTGCCTTGGGCTGCCAGGGGATTGATGCCAAGTCAAATGAATATTTATTACAATTCTCTTGTCCTAAATACTTGATCCAGTTCATTCTATCCTTAATTGTCTCTGATCCTCCCTTCATCATTCTTTTTGGCTTCACGGGCTTTAACATTGATAACCACCTAGAGTTCTTTCCAAAAGCAAGAAAGATGGAAAACGCATACAGTATAAGTACATACCAGTGGATACCCTTTTGAAATTCAGCTGGCTGAGGCCACCTGAACAGTGGCCTCATACTGAGCACACACAGGTTTGAGGGTGTCCAGTGTCCACTGGTCTTTTTTTTTTAATATTTTATTTATTTCACAAAGAGAGAGAGTGAATGAGAGAGAAAGCACAAACTAGGCCAGGGGCAGAGGGAGAGGAAGAAGCAGGTTTCCTGCCGAGCAGGGAGCCCGATGCGGGGCTCGATCCCAGTACCCTGGGACCATGACCTGAGCCAAAGGCAGACGCTTAACCCATTGATCCACCCAGGTGCCCCCAGTGTCCACTGGTCTTAATCAGTGTTCTCCATCCCCTTCTCTTCGAAGCGCCAGAGATCGAAGGCTACCTCAGACTGGAGCCCTCCCAGGGCAGGTGGAATGGCCTGTCCAAGGCCTCATGGTCTTTGGACATGTTCTAGGATGACTCTGGACAACATGTTTTAGGATGCCTCTAACCAGGCCCAATTCCTTTCAAGAGCCACCTACAGGCTGGCGAGGGAGAAGGAGATCTGTTGCCGGTCCCTTTCCCTACCTGGGCATCTTTCTGTGAGAACTGGGCAATCTGCTTCTGGTTTTCCTCCATGTCTGTGCCCAGAAGGGACCTGGGCACCTTGCTCCCCATGCCCTCTTCTGGCATTGGGGTGAAGGAGTAGCGGTTTCGAAGATGAAGCTTCAGCCCGTATTTCTGCAGAACATAGATAGCATAGCAACATTTTAAGGGGTCTGTGTCCTCTGCCCTTGACCCTTCTCTGATTGTGTTTGCAACCATTTAGGTACCTGCACACAGTTCCCCAAGGCAGGTGGTGCCGCTTCTTATTTTTTAATGTAAGTATATAAAAAGCGCTCTTGCCCAGGCATCCTTTGGCAGGCCACGTCACACCACACCATGCCACGCCGTGCCACGTCAATCCACACCATACCATACCACACTGCACCATGCCACACCATGCTACCCTGATCACCTCACAACAACGGGAAGCATACCATCCTCGTTGTACGAATACAACAGAGGCTCAGAGCAGGGAAGTAAGTTGTCCGAGGTCACCTTAGGAGGTGGATCTAGGTTTCACAACCACATCTCTGTGACTCCAAAGCTCTGGCCCTCAGCACTAGTCTATAACTACCCCCACTTTGGAAATAAATAATTAAAATGTAGAAGGACACAATTACATAATGGTTATGTGAAAATCCATACTTAGAAGGTAGATAAATTATTCACATCAAAAAATTTTATTTACTTTGCAGACTCATTTACTCCAGGGTCACTTTAAATGGAAGTTCCCTCGATGTATTTAAAATACGATTTGATTCACAAATATTTGACCGGCAAACAGAACCTTCCAAGAGCACAGCTGCTTCTTTGATGGGGGTACAGATAGAACAAAAGGGGCCTGTGCTGGCCCCAAAACTTAGACTTACTCTCCCCCAGAGACGTTTTTCCTGAAACCACTCTACTGAGGTATGACTGACTGAAAGCTGTGCGCATTTAACGTGGTTAGCCTGATGAATCTGGCATCTAGAGCTTCCTTCCCAGCTCCCTCCCCTCTGCGCCAGCTCTGCTCACATATCACCTGAGCAGCAAGGCCTCCCTTACACACCCAGCACTTCCTGCCCCCTCAGCCTGCTTTCTTTGTCTCTGAAACCCTCACGGCCACCTGGCTAATTGCATAGTTTCCCCGTCTCCCCCTCCCCCCCGCCACCCCCCGGGGTAGAATGCAAGCTCTGTGGGCTCAGGGGCATAGTCCCTTTGCTCAGTGCAGTATCCCCAGCACCTGGATGTACTGCAATCAATACGTATTCTGTTGACTGAACAAATGAACGCCACGTTGCAGACAGGGGACATGTCCAGAGACAGAAACAAGATCTGTGAGGAGAAGTTCTGGAAAACACAAGGAAACCAAAAAGGCCTCTCCAACAATGACAGCTGAAGTTTCCCCAGGCCAGAGATATTCCAGATGGCGGGATTGCCATGGGTGGAGCATACTGTGGAGGTGAACCCAAACAGTGGTAGGGGCTTGGGCTGGGACACTGGCAGGGTTCTTTCTCACACCAAGACGGGGAAAGCTGGAGGAAGTTCCAGCCTGGTTCCTCTCAGGTTAGTAAACTCTTTCTCACCCAGGAAGTATCCTTAGTTTCTCCTTTTCCTCCCCCGTCATCCTATCCATCACCAAGTCTCACTGGCCCGGTCTCTCCAGAAGTTGTATGCTTCTCTCCATCGCCACTGCCTCCATCCCAAGCTGCCATCTTGTGAACCACTGCAGCCGCTGCCCGCCCGTCTCCCTGAGACCACAGCTGCGTCCACCACATTCCTTGCCACCCAACATGTGGACTGACCTTTCCTGAAGTTACAAACCCCATCCCTCCACTTCCTCTGCCCCTGGCACTCCAGGATAAAATGCAGTCCCTCCTTCACAGCCTACAAGGCCCTATCTCAGTTGGCCCCCCAGCCCCTCTCATATGCCATCTGCTGCCCCTCTGCCCATCCCTTGTCTGCTTTCTTCCACCTTGGGCCCGGCCATCTTTACTTCCCTCTGCTCAGGTGACCACAAGGCTGCTAACTTCTTAGCATCTGCATGTCAGCTCAAATGTCACCTCCTCAGGAAAGCTGTCCTGGTTGGGCAGTCCAGGCTGGACCTCTGGTCCCTCACTACCACATTGCCTTGTTTTCCTTTCTTTGGGGGTAACACTTCCTCTACCTGAAGTCCTCTTACTAAGAGCAGAAGCCTTGTCTCCCTCCCTCACCATGGTATCCCCAAGGGCTTCTCCCAGTGCGGGACACAGGGCAGGGCCTCAGAAGCATTTACTGAGTGAATGAATCAATAACCCACCCCAAATAAGCGTCCTAAGAGTTGCTTCAAGTATAACTAATTGAATATGGATAACTTTTTGTCTGATTCCAGGGCTTTCTCATAAATTGGACCTTTGTCATTCTTGGTGGTTTTAATTATGTGGTGTCAGACTAGAAAGAGGGATGTTAAAGCACCATTAGATTTGTCTACATCATGCAGTTCTCCTCTTATAAAAACAGAACCCTTCTTCTGATTCCCCCACGAGAGTTCTCAGCATGCACAGCCACCCTGGGTGGAAATTGCTAGGAAGGGACAAGGTGTATATGAGGGACCAGAGGTAAGAGAGATTCAAAAGGTGCGGTCCCCGGCCCCACCACTGTCCTGCAGAATCAGCTCTCAGATCAAGGTCCCTCAGGGTCCCATCAGTTTCCAAGGTTGTTCTGATAGACCTGAAAGTTTGAGAGCCCTGCCTTAGGTTTCCAGGAGTAAAGCAGGAGCACAGTGATCTGGCTGAGACCCAGAAGATTATTAGTGAGGAAGGGAAGGGGTTGCCACTTGAATGGAGTCAAGGCTGGCCCAGGGAGAGCTGGACAAGGCAGCTGCTTGCTGACGGGGGAGACAAGACCGCACCAGGGCAGAACTCTGCCCTCTCAGCCTGGAGTCCACTATTTAACGTGGGGCCACTTTTGAAGCAAACCTGTGATGTAGTGGACAGAACCAGGAGGTGATCCAGTCTGATGCTCTCGTTGACAGCTGTGGAAACTAAGACCCAGAAGAGAGGCCCCATGGAGGCCCCATGTGGGTGGGGGAAACCATCCTCTGGCTCAAGGATGGGAAGAGGGGCAGTGGCACCAAAGGAAAGACTCACACTTTAGGTGAGAGCTTGGTCTAATGGGACAGGCCCCTAGTGGCCAGGCCTGACAGGCAGTAGCCAGCTACAGGGCCCCGGGGAGGTCTTTCTGGAGCCTCAGTTTCTCAACTGCCACATGGGAGTAATAATGCTAGCTGACAGTTATGAGGTATGGACCATGGCCCAGACAAACCTATTAACCACCCCCCAATAGCCGTATGAGGTGGGTACTATTATCATCCTCATCTTGCAGATGAGGAAGATGAGGCGCCATGAGGCAGCTAATAAAACCATCAAGCAGGGATTCAAAACCAGCCCGTTAGGTCCCAGAGTCTGTAAGCTCAGCCCCATCCTCTGCCCAGGCCGGGCTGCAAGGGGAGCTCCTGTCTGTGACCTTGTCCACTGCAAACCGCAATGTGCTGGGATGTGTGAGGCTGAGCAGGACTGCTCTGGGATGCCTGTGCCAGCACACGGCAGCCCAAGAACGGGGAGAAGGAGGCAGGTGGACCTGGTTCAAGTTCTCTGTCATTTCCTAGTGTGTGAACCTAACTTCACAGAACCTTGGTTCCCTCATCATAGAACGGGACACTAACATTCTTGTCTCACAGGTGAAGACCAATAGCTAGAGTGTTAGAACTTGTAGCCCAAGTTGTGGCACTGGTAAAATAACTGTTCTTTACTGTTGTTTGGAGATAGAACATTCCCAGAGTTCAGCTGTCTTCCTATAGATGCTGTCCAGCTTGTCAATGTCTTGTCAGAGAAGGTGCTCCATACTCCACAGGGGGTTAGTTCTGTGTCTCACGAAGCAGGACTGTTTTCTCCCTTGCTTTGAGCACCATGCTCCTATTAATGCAACGCAAGGTCGGAGATCAAAGCATATACTCAATTCAGTGGGGGGTTTCCTAGTTAAAGGAGCCCTATGACAGAAACCATTTTCAAAGGAGTAACTTTTTTTTTTTAAAGATTTTATTTATTTAAGAGAGAGAGAGAGAGAGAGAGAGAGACAGCAAGTGAGAGAGAGAGCACACGAGTAGGAGCAGAGGGAGACGGAGAAGCAGACTCTCCTGCTGAGCAGGGAGCCCGACGTTGGGCTCGAGCCCAGGACCCTGGGATCATGACCTGAGCTGAAGGCAGACACTTAACTGACTGAGCCACTCAGGCGCCCCTCAAATGAGTAACTTATTTTTATAAAATGAATAGTCACGTGAAAATTTCTGTTCTGTGATCCTGAGTTTTATAAGTCAGATTTTTCAAAAGGAGGGTCTACCCACAGCCCTCACCCCTAGCCACGTCTGCCACCATGTATAATTAGTGCATTTGCAAGCTTGTCTTCAGCTGTAGTCTGGTATGGACTGAAGACTGGAGACCCTTGCCCGGGCCTTGGCTAGACTTCACCAAGTCCTGCCTGTGGGTGGCTCACTTGCGCTCTCTCTCTCTTTCTCTCTCAGTAGGCAACAGTGATTGGATGTCTTATTAACTTCAAACTGTCAATTTACAGCAAAGTTGGTGCGAAAATGCTCACAGCTTCTCATACGGGTGACACACAGGACCCTTTTTTCTGAGTGGGGGTGACAGAGGCACCAAGCGGGGGGAGAAGCTGAGTGGGCTCCAGGAATGTGGTCACCAAGCTTCCGAAAGAGGCAGTGGGGGTGACAGGAATCTGAAAGGACGGGAGCAGAGTTGGGCCAGCCTGTGGACTGAGGTTAAGCTGAATAGAAGTTAACAAGGGGCCCTGAGCGTTCTTGGGACTCCCTAAAGTAGCCCAGGAGTCAGAGGAGGTGAAAAGTCCATGGGTGCCAAATTCCTGCTCAAGCTGCCTACAGTGGTAATAGGATCTAAAGTTTAATGAGGGCAGAAATCAGGCTTTTGTCAGAGGTCCAAGGCTTCAAGGCAGGTCCCCAGCGAGGGCCAGGCGAGACGCCGGGAAGCGATGGGGCCGGGCAGAGCTGGAACCCCAGTCAACATGCAAGGCACCAGCCAGGGCTCCATGTAGGAACATGGGCCTCATGTTGACAAAGCTTGTCTTCCAGAGACGCCCAAGTTTTATGTGAAATTTTCCATTTTTAAGACACTGGTAGGCCAGACAAAACCCAACTGTGGGAATGCACTGAGGAGAGCATGTCGGGTAGACAAACCCTTGGATGGAAGAGAGAACCCAGGTGCAAGGGAACCACGTGGGCACAAAATAGGGAGCCTTCACCCCAGGTCAGAAAGCTGGAGCTGCCCCCTCCCCCACCTTTGGGCCATGGGGGAGCTCGACCTTCAGCTCTAGGTCAGTGTAAATCTCCTCACCTTCAGCAGGCTGAGGAGGTAGGACACTCGGGAGAACTTAAACCCTGAAATGGAATCCGGTGAAGACGGTCACCGGCGGTCACCGACAGTCATGCCCCGCCACCCCCACATCACCTCTCAGGGCTCACCTGGGATGACCTCCTCTGGGACAGCTGCACCCCCACCACAGGGCGTCTCTCGAAGACTGCTGTGTTCACCCGCAGTCTCTGTAGGTACGCCGCCTGGGGGGCACACAGGGCCCGCCTTTCATCCCAGGGGCCGACCTGCCAGCTCAGGGGACTCGCTACAGGCCAGCCTGCTGCCCCCTGGCTCATGCTGTTCCTGCCTCTGGGAATGCCGTTCCCTTGCTTCCTCTGTAAATTCCCACTTGCCCAGATGTCTCGTAAGATGCGACATGACTGCTCCTCCCCCTCCACGTCCCAGGGGCGACCTTCCCTCCTGCATGGCCTGGTGGCTCTGCTAAGTCCTACTGCACCGTGCCCAGCCCTGCCTGGGGTGCCCAGCTCCTCTTGGGGGGGTGAGCCTCATGCCTCCCCACAAGCACCGAGAGGCAGGGGCGCCTGGGGGGGGGCTCTGTCGGTGAAGTGGCTGCTTTCGGCTCAGGTCACGGTCCTGGGGTCCTGGGATCGAGTCCCGCGTCGGGCTCCCTGCTCAGCAGGAAGCCCACTTCTCCCTCTGCCTGCCGCTCCCCCTAATTGTGCTCATTCTCTCTGTCAAATAAATAAAATTTTTGACAAGTAAATGAAGTTCACTTGCCAGACACTGTTTAATCCAGCCCACAACCCTAGAGGTGGCCACTATGACTCTCCCCATTTCACAGATGAGGAAATGGAGGCCCAAGGAGGTTAATGGCTTGCCTCAGGCTCACGGAGTTCCTGAGTAGAGGTGTTGGGAATTGAACCTAGACGGTCTGGACCGAGGATCTATACTCCTGACCCATCCCAGTGAGGAAGAAAACCGAGCGGCCCTGGCACTGGGACACAGCCTGGCCCTCAGAGGTACGCCGTGTTGTTCTCACATTAGCCACAAGCAACCTCACAGAATGGTCTGAGACCACTGAAAATGGGACAGAGCAAGACCACGTCACAATTTTGCCTAAGTACAAACATGGGCTCTGAGTCACCCACAAAATACCCTCCACCTCCTCTCGCAGCCAAAATAAGTGACCACTACTTCCTTACCAGTCACCCTCTCCTGCTACTGGCCCCCCTCCCCAATAGATAAGATTTATCGAGATGCCCAGTCACAGGGGGTGCTCCTGCTTTCTGACGGTATCCAATCTAGAGCACACCCTACTTCCTTAGACTGTACCCCCAATCATCCAACCAGAGCTCAAATCCTAGAACAGGTTCTTCCAAACCCCTCCTTCCTGAGCCACCTCACATCACCCTGCTCCCCGGCCCCCCCCAGCCGGTCACCCCCTGACTCTGCGAACTGCAGGGCTGTGCCTGGGGGGGCCTGGGTCTTGGGCCGAAGGGGTGGACACCAGCCTCCCTTGGGCTGAGTTCCCATCTGCGAGGCTTTGTGTGGCAGGTCCTCGAAGCACATGATCTGTTCGCTCCAGAGCAGCTCTGTAAGTGGGTGTTTTTATTCTCATCTTACCACGGCTCAGAGAGCCTCAGTGACTTGCCTTGACCTTCACAGATAGAAAGCGGCAGAGCTGGGGGACGAATTCCTGTTTATAATTACATAAAATCAATGTTTTAAATTACTGATCAGTTGAGTTATATAATGCTCCCTGTAAAATGTTCAAGTAAAACTACTATGTCAGGGAAAGTGTTTAGATTTAACACCAGTCTCATAGCCCGCCCTCCCTGACGTGCTGAGTCGTCCCGTGTGGATATCCTAAAGCTGCCACTGCCTCAGGGAGATGTTCCAAGTTTGTCTTGTGAACACCCTCTAGCACACATGGTGGCCTCGGAGGGGTACCGGGACCAGAGTTTGAGAAGCACAGCTTCAGGGTACCCCTGGCCTGGCTCAACTTTGGACAGAGGAGCCAGTGGTGGTGGGGGCAGGGCCCTACCTCCCCTGCTGGACTGGCTTCCTCGCCGTCTCCGGGGTACACTTGGGGCCGTGTAGCTGCTAGGTACTTCAGCCTAGACACAGCTGGGGAGCAGGGGGCTCCCGTAATCCGTAGTCAGAGGGCCCCACCTGGCCCCAGCTTCCCAGGCTTTAACACGTCCCTCTGGCTATGCCACTTACATACTTTCCCATGTTGTCACCATCTTGCTTCTGAATGTCCCGACTCTCCCAAAGTTGTGGGGGAAATGCACGTACGTTAGGGGAAGGAGAGGAAAGGGAGCCCCTGATAGCCTCCTTAACTACTGAGGACACCCATTTGACAACCGTGGGTCAGCGCCAGGGAGAGACCAGCCGGCCGCCCCCCTCTCCTGGCCGCCCCCTGCGGCTTCTCGAATTCCGGCTTACAGCCATGTGTGCAGGGGCTGCGGCAGAGGGGAAGGTACTCACAGCCACCAGCCCGTTGTGTCCTGCAATGAGACCAGGGGGAGGAGGAAAGTAGCAGTGGTCGGCGGGCAGACAGACACGCTCCCTGGGGAATATGGGCACCCATCCCTGTCCCCATGCTCGTGAAGATCCTGGGGAGGTAGCCGAAAGTACCTGGATGTTGTAATAGCGTCTAGCTTGATGCCATAAATCACCTGGTCTGTGGGCAGCCAGGAAGCCCTGGTTCTTGCCCTAGCTTGAGAAAAGTCCTGTCACCCTGGCCTGGCCAGTGGCTCCAGGCTGGAGTGAGGGATGAGGAGAAAGCCACAGTCATCAGACAAAAGCTATCTCATGAAGCCTTGCGCTGCTGGGCTTCTGTCTCTTGGGGATGAGCAGGTGACTGGTGGAAAGTGTGTCAGTTTCCTGGGCAGGAACAGAAGGGAAGCGTGGCTGCTCTGCTGGCGCTGGACCCCCTCGCTGGCTTGGAATCACTGTCCAGGTGCATGCTGGGCATGAGGACAGCTGCTGTCACACGCGGCTTCTTCTGCCAAGTGTGGTCCATTCTAGTGCCCCAGAGGCTTTAGTCCTATGGCTTTGTCTTTGTCAATCACCAATATTTCCCAAATAAGAACAGTTCAAAATGAATTAAACACATAGAGCTTCAACGTGTGCTAAAGGAGTGCTGGCTGATTGGGTGAATTTATCTATCGTGTGTGTGTGTGTGTGTGTGTGTGTGTGTGCGCGCGTGTGTATTTCTTTTCAAAAATCTTAAGAGGGCTGCGCCTAGATTGGGAGCCCTAAATCTGACTTGGGATTCCAGGTTCCCCACCAGGCCCACTGCTGACAAGTGCGTCTCCTGCTCTGAGAAGCTTCAGGATCATCTAAGAACCCATATGAACGATGATTCACAACCCCACCCCAGAGTCAGCTCAGCAGGGTGGAGGCAGGGACTTGGGATGGATTTCTCACAAGGCCCCGGGGCGGTTCCGATGCAGGTGGTCAAGCATGGCCAGGGCCCGGGAGTGTCTCCTCTTCCCTCACTCTCAGGATAAAGTGTAGCTGCTTATGGGGAAGCCCTTGTTGGGCAGAGAGCAGGCCTGGGTTGTTTTCAGGTAGTGGGGACAGGTCTTGTCTGGAACATTTGGCACGCATTTCTCCTTGGTGACAGAAGGTCACTCTGAGTCTTCAAAGATGTCAGCAGAAGACTATGTTCTCAGAGCACCAGCCTGAACCCAGTGTTCGTGCAAATAAAATGTTCAGCCATTAATCTGACAAACATCCATAAATAGGAGGCAGTGATGACCCACATGACGGATTTCTTCACAGCTGAGCTGACTTTGTTTTACATTTTCCACACAGAGACACCCAGAATTTTAGAGGTCACTAAGCCAACTTCTCTTCCATTAAAGGAATCTCTGAAATAGTGTTTTTCAACCTTCTTTGACCATGAGCCACATGAAGAAGTGCGTCCTAACCTGTGACCTGGCCTGTACCCCACATATAAATGTATCCACAGAAACAAAAGTTTCATGAACTCATATTAACTCACCATGTGATAAGCATGTGATGATCTATTTGATTATATTTCATTAAAAAAGACGGGTTAATATACTATTTTTATATACTTTTGAAAAATTTCTTAAGGTTTAAAAGCTTTGCTGGATGGGATTCATGAGTGAGTTGCAGCCCACAGTTTGGAAAGGCCTGCTCTCAAATATATACATCAAATTAAAGGCCGACTGTCCTGGGCTCAACCTGACTCCTGCTATTTACAGGACATGGCCCTCAGAGAGTCATTCTGACCGGCCGTGAGCTTCAGGCTTCTTGCAGTGTTGGAGCGAGAATAACCAATAATATACGTAAAGCACCTGACCCTCAGCAGACTCACGATAAATGGTAGCTATTTGTCTCTTAAGTAGTGCTGATTATAAATCTTGGAAAAGTAATAAAGGCTTCCAGGCAACGGGGTCCAGTTCAATCATCACACAAGCCCACAAATGCACAAACAGACCTCAAATGACAAAGGTCAAGATTCCAACAGCCCAAGACCCTCAGCCCTCCACACTCCATCCCTAGTCCTGCCTGAGCCCTCCTGGGGCTGCTGGTGACCTCTCCTTCCCCCGAGGGGGTCTGAAGCTGCACTGATCATTTCCAGCCTGACTCCAGGGATCCTCAGCTAGCCAGGCATGTGGGGCTCTTGAGAGAAGCCGCTCTGAACATGGGTTCTCAAGTGCGGCTTGCAGCCGTCTGCACTGGACCCGCTCCAAATTCTGGTTGGATGCGCTGACTTCCCCTGAATCCTAATCACCAGGGATAGGGCCCAGGAATTGCACTTTAACAAGCTCTTTGGGTCATTCTTAGGCATATTTAGTCAAGGGACTACTTAGGGTTCGTCTTCAAGGTGGCCCCCAGATACTCGTGTGACCTCAGGGAGCAGAGCTAACCCTTCTCTCAGAAGATGCCACTTTGTCCCTCACTTGATTCCCAAATGCCCTTAATTAAACCAGGCTGCCCTGAATGCTCAGCAACTGAAGAAACATCAAGGAAAAACTCACACCTGAGACACACACGCGTGGGCAAGTCACCTATGCCTCTGGGGACCTGGAGTCAACCCTCCGTGCCAGGAGACAGCAGGGATGTGCTGTCACCAAGGCCAGAAAAGCGGGGGTGGGGGTGGGGCATGACACCTTCCCAATCAGTGAAGCCTGGGGCTGGCTTCCCCTGGCCAGGATGTTTGCGACGCTTGTCAAACACTGCCCTTATTAAAATTTAGATTATTATAAACTTACAGTGAAATAAATTATATTAAAAACAAAGGCAATAAATACTCAAAACTTGTCACTTCCCCGTTTTTCCACAGTTTACCATGACCTATGCTCCTGCAGTTCTTCACCTCTGAGCAGCCGTCAGCGGCTGTGCCTCTCTCCCAAGTGCACACACAGCCCCCTCATGGTGGCAACTTGAAAAAGGCCGTTGTGGGGGGGAGGGGAATACTTGAACCACAGAAGCCAGCCAACAGCACCCCTCAGGGCTTAGCAGTATTACTCTGTTGACCTTTCCGTGAGAGAAAGTGATGGAGAAAACACGAACGATGCAGACGAAACCCGACCCTGCGCTGTGTCTGCAGCTGTTCCGCGGCAAATAGCACAAAACCTTGAGAGAATATTCTCCCAGTGCGGGAGAAATGTCATCTGACGGAGCAAAGTCTCTCCCATCACTGGAGGAGTGAAGTTCAGGTGTGACTGTTGCTTCCCGTCGGTTCTGATCTTTAAAGTCAGTGCAAACGGCAAACCACGTTCCCTTCCGAGCCGGCCTGATCGGTCGGGAGTAACCACAGGTTTGCTGCTAAGTTTAGCAAAAATCACAGAAATTTGGTGAGAGCCAACTGGCTACCTGGAATTTAGAGCATCGTGTATCTTCCTTGTAAACGTGTGTGCTCTATTTCTTCTATCTATCATAAGTTCCCGTATAAATGTCCGCACACATTTTCCCTGGCGGGGCGACTTACAGCATCTCCCGGCCACGACTGCTCGTGGAGCACACAAGAATGAAGAGCCGGCAGGACAGGATGCAGCTTTAAAACGGTGAAGAGCATCTTCTTTCAATCCTGCCATTGTCTGTCCTTCTAAACCCAGTGGGAAAGAATGCCAGAAGTTGAAATTTGGGGCCCCCCGGGAGTGTGAATGGAAGGCTCTGAGCAAAGACAACCTGGTCCAGACCCTGTGGCCTCCCACAGTTACATGGCGGAATCGGACACGCTGCAGCCTGGCCATCAGCCAAGTGCAGTAGGACCGACCCGACGTGCCCCAGCCAGGCAAGACAAAGGGGGCTGTCAGCCTCTGCAGACATGCACTAGGATCTCTGCGACTCATTTCTATTTTTTCCTAACTCCCAGTTTCCTTAGGGGAATGGGTAGTCCTAGTGGTGAGGTGGTGGTGACCAGAACTCAGGGCACTCGGGGTGGCTGGATTTCATGGGTCTTTTATGGCAAAGCTCTTTCTTTCCAACCCTTGCGTACCATCTGCTTTCCAAGAATGTGGTGGCAACTAGCTAATTTTGCATGAGATACATGGAAACTCCTGAGCTCACCTATTCCTCCCTGGTCATTCTAGAAGGGCAGACCCGAGCCTAGAGAGGGCAAGAGTCTGCCCCAGACCACGAGCAAGTTGATGGCAGAGTCAGCCCCACAACCTCACAGACCAAGCGGACTTTCCACCACCGCCCCTGCTCTGGCCCAAACCCCGGCCAGGCTGTGCCCAGAGCAGAGGGAGGTGGGGGGCTTGGGAATGCCACCCCCTCCGCCAGCCCTGGGGCCTCTGAGCAGGGCTGCCCTCCCTGGCCCTCAGCTCTAGCACGGCCCGTTTACCTGCTCCTAGCACCACGGCATCATACTGAGGATTTAGGCATCCCCTGGCTTCCCAGTGAGCTCGTCTCCAAGCCGGGCAGGGAGAGGCACCCAAGGCCCTGCTGAAACCTGGGCCACTTGCAGCCATTTCTGCCCAGCACTAGGCCAGGAATTTATTTACAGTCAGCTTTTGTGCAGCCCAGGTGGGGGGAAGGGGCAGGGAGCAAACAGGAAGAGAGGAGAAGCTGCAGTCCAGCTGCCGTACTTGGATTCGGGCCATGAGGACATGCAGCTCATGGAGTCCACACAGGGCAGAGTCTCAGGAGGCCACCAGTTCACCAGGCAGAAGTTGGGTCCCCTCCAGGCCGCAGAGGAGAGCCACTGTGCTGGTCACTCTAGGGCTCCCACGTGTGAGGCGCTGTGCTCACGGAGGCCCCAGAACTCCCATTTCATGGACGAGGGGCACGGAGGCTTGGAGAAGGGGTGGCGGAGGTCATGCAGCCAGTGAGCAGGTTGGTGGGGCCCCCTCCCCAGCACTGTCCTACGCCTCCTTAAGGAGTTTACTGTCCGGGGTGTGCTGGGGAGCGAATCCTGAGATACTGGTCAGACTCTGCTCTAGCTCCCCATCTTTCCGCCTGCAGAGGTGAGCGGCTCTACACCCCACAGGGTTGCCTTGACCAGGGCCTCAGCAAAACTACGGGGGCCGGGGGGACATCTGTCACTGCAGCGTGCTCCTGGAGAGCTGAGTGCTCCCTCCCAGACCCTGAAACACTTTGCATTCAGAAGAGGCTGCCGCGGGAGCCTGCAAGGGCTGGGGAGCTTGGGGCTCGCCTTCTTCTGACAGCCTGGACATCGCTCTTGTCTTTGGCACCTTTCCCATTTCCCCAGAATCCTCAAGGATTAAAGATCACATCTGCAAGTATCTTCAGGTGACACACTTTCTTGCTATGCTCTGGACTGCCTGGAATTAGGAGCTCCTTTGTTCTCTGCCCATTAGCTAGCAGGCCATTCCTCTTGTTAGAGGAAAAAAGCACCCAAGAGTTGAGTTTCTGTACTGCCATGACATCTGTCCATATTCTAGAAACCCGCTATTAGAAGTGCACCTTAAAATTGGGAGAGTATGCAGAGAAGGTGCGTCTGAGCAGGAGAGCCTTCCGCGGATCCTTCTACTCATGACCAAGACACCCCTCCGCACGTCAGGTTTACACTGTGTGCGAAACTGTGCTGGAGTCTGATGCAGGATGCTCGCCCCAGTGTTACAATATTGAAAAATTCGGGGGATTGGTTCAACTAGACATGTCGACATCATGCAGCTACTAAAAATTAAGGGACAACAGTAGGTGACAGAAGCGGGTACCCTAAGCAGCAGTGGGCATCTAGAACTTTCCCCCGCTTTGTGCTCTTCTGTGTTTTCCACAACTGATGTTAAATTTCCATTCGTAGAGTCAAGATATTAAGGAGGCATGTGGTCCCAGTCACCTCAGGTGACTGTCCCTCACTGCCACGTCTGAGGACATTAGTGTGAGGTGTGGTTCTGCCCCCACTTCACCCCCACCAGCTGTCTCCTTAACAGAAAAGAGTCTCTGCATGAATTCTGGCTCAAGACTGAAGACATGGAAGGCCCAGCTACTGTCAACACGTCAGAAACGCTGCCTGGGCGCCTCCTCCTGCCACGGTGCTTCTCTCCTACCCGCGGCAGACGCTCCCCAGTCCCACGGCTCAGGTGCCCTGACCTGCGGTGGGAGCTTCTAGGTGACAGGAGAGGGGCCGTCCCCCTGAGGCAGTGGTTCTCAACCCAGGGCACGTAGGGATCGGCTGGGGAGTTTTTATAAACCTCTGCTTGGGATCCAGAGGACCAAGGGACGCAGATCTCTGAGGTGGGGCTGAGGCAGGAGTCGAGACGGAGCAGGGTGCGGATGGACCAGGACTTCTATGCACCAGGAAGAGCCCAGGAGCCCAGGCACGTTTGGCTTGAACAACAGTGACCACAACCAGCATTTATTGAGCACCTGCCGTGTGCCAGGCAGCCCTCACAACCACCCCGAGAGGTAGGTGCTAGCCCTCTGAATGTGGGGGAAACGGCTGTAGAGTATAGGAAACCCGCCCAGAGCTGCAGAGAGGAAGCGGCCCACCCAGCCAAGGCAGCACCTTGCATCTGGGGAGGGAAATGGCTTCCCGAGGAAGCTCTCTCTCCACTCCAAGGAAAGCATAAAGGAGGTATCTTCAGACGCCCGCAAGCCCCGGGGACTTCCTGTCTCCTGGAGATCAAGGGAGAGGCAGCTCTGAAAGCAGATGCCCTAGTTCTAACCTCACAGCCACTGTTGTTTTAAGGAGACCAAGGGACTCCCCTGGCCTCCCTCCTCCCCCAAAAAGAAGGATTTGGGGGTTTGGTACCTGGAGGGGAGCCTAGTCTAGGTGGTTTCTTTAAGAGAGCCAGGGGGCTGTCTTAAAGAAAGCCCCCTGGCTCTCTTAGGCTCTCTAGCGGCTGCTCTGCAGGGGGCCGGGGTGCACAGCCAGACTGCAGTGCCCTGGCCTAGAGCAAGGGGAGGCGGGAGGTCTCCCACAGGCGCCGGGCCAGCTCGCCGGCCTGCTGCACCAGCACGTCTGTGGGGATGACCGACAGGTGGAGGGCCAGCAGCTCGTGGCACTTGACGGCCTCAGCGGGGTGGCCCTTGCTATAGTAGCGCAGGAGCTTCCTGGAAGAAGGGGGGCGGGATTCAGGAAAGGGCCCCAGCAGCCCTCCCAGACGCAGGCGCCCCTCCTGGCACGGCACGGACACTGTCACCTCGCGAGGCCCTAGCACCTGGCCAACCGCATGAGGCTTGGCCCTGGGCTGCACAGTCCACCCCTTTGGGTTCCCAGCCCTGCGTGGGGCCTGCCGATGGCCCTGTCCAGGCCACGGGAAGCCACAGAGCTGGCAGGGAAGCCCGAGGGCCCGGCACGGATACTGGCAGGTGCTGCCAACAGTGTGGCAGCCAGAGATGGGCAGAAACCCGGGCATGCTCCCACCCACCCCCCTCACTGAACACGGGGCTGGGCAGCAAAGAGCTTCCACCGAGGGCTTCTTGGGGGCGTTCCTGGAGCAGGAGCTGCTCCCCATGGGGAAGTGGCACTTGCTGGGCACCCACTGTTCCCAGCAGCCTTGTGAATCGGGGTCACCTGTAGTAGTCTCCTCCCAGCACGCCGATGGAGGCCGAGTCATCCGAGAGGACAGGCACCTCTATTATCTGGAGTTTGTACCCCTGCGGAAGAGGAAGAAGGGCTTACAGGGGCAGGTGGTGGCGTGGTGGAAAGAACACGAGCCTGAGTCAGACACCATGTTCAAGGCCTGGCTCAGCCCCGCGTGCTGGGTGCTTGCTGCTTGGACCTCTTTTTACCTCGTTTTCTCAACTGTGAAGTGGGACTAACAGTAACCTCCCAGCGAACACTGGAGGCAATGTATATAAAGCTCTGAGTGTCCTGCCTAGTACACACGTGGTAGTTCTCACTCCCACCAGTGCGTGGACCTGGCGCAGGGACCCGCAGGAGCTCAGGAGGGCTGTCAGGAGGGCGACCCTGGGAGGTGGCATGCAGGGTCTTGAAGGGCTAGGCATTATCAAAAGGCCCAAGTCTCTGCTGTGAAAGCAACCACAATCTCCAGGGCAGGAGGAGGAGGAGAAGGGGGGCGCCTGGGTGGCTCAGTCGGTTAAGCCGGGGTCCTGAGATTGAGTCCCACGTCGGGCTCCCTGATCGTCAGGGAGTCGGCTTCTCCCCCTGCCCCCCCCATTCATGCTCTCTCTCTCTCTCTCTCTCAAATAAATAAAATCTTTAAAAAAAAAAAAGGAAAAGGAGGAGAGGAAATTAAGATGCGCTGGGCAGCCACTGTGCATCGGGCAGGGTCATGGGGCTCGTCTCCACGCTCATGTGGGCACCGTGGGGCCTGTCCTGCAGGCAAGGAGGTGTACTCAGCGTGCCAGGTGGCTGCCCCAGACGGCACAGGGCAGGCAGCCTCCACAGCTGGCTCTGCCCCCCACAGCCCTACGGCAGTCTTGTCACTCCACTGGGCCAGCCACACACACAAAGCCCGGCCTCTCCCTAGAAGCTAAGGTAAAGGTCGTACACACATCCTGCGCTCAGAGCGCAGACGAGAGCCTGTCGGCCAGGAGAGCTGAGCCTGGGTTCTGGCTTCTTCATTTATGACCTTGGTGGCCCTGGCCACAGAGTTTGATCTCCAGGCGTCAGTGTCTCTATCTGTAAAATGGGGCCAACGATCCCTGCCCCAACCATGGCACAGGCTGGGAGTACGGGAGGTTGTGAGAGACCCAGGAAGCAGCCTGTACTCTGGAAGGTGCCGGCCATCGCTCTCGGGGCAGAGCGAAGGAGGGCTGCTGCCAGGGGGAGGGCAGGGCCTGGTGGGGGTGTAGAGGGCATGAGGGGCAGAAGGAATGGAGAGAGCGGGAACACGGACTCAAAGTGACAAGTGAGAAGAAAACAAAGAGGTAACAGGAAAGAAAGAGGAGAGACAGAGAAACAGGCAGCGAGCTCCCATGACCTGTGCTTACACTGGAGTAACAGTGAGGTCTAGCGCGAGAAGTACCAGGCCAGGAGGCCGTACTGTCCTCTTCACCTTGCGCAGGTTGCTACACGGCTCTGAACCTCGGTTTATTGGCCTCTACAATGGGAACGACAGCATGCCGTGCTCTGTAAGCGCGGCTGGTGACGCAGGAGCAGGCGTGAGCAGCTGTTCTCGAGGGGCATGTGTCCATGTGTTCGCGTGCGACCTGGACACCGCCTTGAGTGACAGCACGAGTCGTTCAGACAGCTGCTGGAGGGGTCACAAAGCGCCCCTGAACACAGGACCCCTGAGGTCGGGTGCCCACGGCTGTGCCTCCCTGTCAGCTCCACTAGGGACGAGAAGAGATGAGAGACAGACAGACTGAACGCAGTGCAGAAGAAAGGGGTCCGTGAGTGAGCAGAGAGGAAAGCATTTCGGGACAGTCCTGCCCCGGGACCTGGCTGCACCCACCATCTCGTTCTCGAACCACAGGAAGTAGGAGAAGCAGAAGTCGCCCTCCCGGAACAGCAGCGTGCTGTAGCCCTTCTGCAGGCATCTGCGCGCCAGCCGGATCAGACACCAGACCTGGGGACAGGTGGAGAGTGTGCTGGTGGCGGCCCCGACGGCCTCCCCAGGGCCCGCCGCGGCATCGGCCCTCTCCCCACAGGGGGCCCAAGGCTCAGGCTCCCAGCTCTGGAAGAAAAGCACTTGGAGGAGGAGCTCCTGGAAGGCCAGCGGCTGCTCCCCCTCACCTGTTTCCTGTGAGCCGGGGCATGGCCTGGGTCAGAGCAAGAGCTCAAAAGTAAATCATCATCGGGTGGGTGTGTGGACTACCCCTCCTCAGTTACTGTGACAATAAAATACATGTAAAAACCCTTCACGTAACTTGACTACGCACGGAGGCCGTAACATAGTAAACTGATCATTCAGCCCAGAAAACAGCCAAGCACGTTGTTAGTTAACACAACAGGAGACGAGGGTGTGGCCACCTGGAAACCCCGCCTGCTGTCCAGGGCCACCCGCCCACCGGTCCCCTCCAGGGGCGTAGGCTCTATGCCAGGAAGGTGCTGTGGGGCGTGTGAGCACAGAGGACCCTGAACCAGGCATGGGCTCTCTCCAGGGCTGAAGTCCCAACCATGGCTAATCCAAGGGCTTCCGTTCCAGGCCTGTGACCTGCCCGAGGGAAGAGAGCAGGGACAGCCTGACTCCTCCATTCCCCAGGGCTGGAAAAGGCCTGATGAGCGCTCGCACCAAAAAGCTTAGCGGAAGGCATACATGATTCACGGCAAACCTGACCACAGCGTAATGTCTAATTACATCTGCAAACAAATACGTGGATTTGCTGTATTTTCAGGAAAGCAATTTGACAACGTGTATCAATAACCTTAAAAACATTCCTCCCATTTGACTAAGTATTCCATTTCTGGGAATCCATATTGAGAAAATAATCAGAGATGAGGACAAAGATGGATGCGCAAAGGTGTGTGAGGCAGAATTATTTATGACCGTGAAAGCCTGGAAACAATCTAACTGTTCAACATTGGGGAAATGGCTAAGGAAATTATGATGGACTATTGTGGACTTGTTAAAAATCATGTTTATAAAGAATTAATGACATGAGGAAATGCATCAGATAGAAAGCAAAAACGTGGGTAAACACAATTGCATCCACGGAATGATCCGAGATTATGACCAATGGCAAAAAAACTGCACAGAAAAACAATGCAAAGAAATGCAGCCAGAGAACCCCTAACAATCTCCAGAAAGATGGTTGGAGAGGCTGGTACCAGCAACTGCTCCATGAATTCTGTTGATCTTCCGTGCCATACTGTGCTGAGTATTTAACCTGGAGCATCTCACGAGTCTGTGATTGTTGTCCGCTGGGGACGTCAAAAGTATCACCAGCCTCTTGCACAGATGAGCACACAGACACTCCGACTAAGTAATGCCCTGGGGCCACACGGCCGGGGAAAGGCAGAGCCCACCCTGCCTTTTGTCACCCTCTTGGTTTTAACTATTAGCGTGTACTTTAGACGAATCTAACAGATGTTTACACTAGACTACCTACAACATGTATAGTATATAAATATACACATACTAGTTTGCCATGAAATAGTCTATTAATAAAGAGAATACAAGAACCCCCAGCGAATGTTTCTTTAGTACAAACCACCTATTGTTAAATCCTGTATCCAAACTGAATGACCTTGTGTTTCTTCTTTCCATTTGAGTTCATTCAACAAATTCTTATTGGGATTTATTTATGACAAGCACAATGTTAGGCCCTGGCCATTTCCCCCTCTGGCCTCACTGCCCAGACGTGCTCCTTCAGGCACATTAGAAGACACCCAGGAAGGTGCCCCCTGACATCGACTGAGGCCCATGTGGCCCCGGGTGCCAGGACCCTAGAGTGACGAGGCCCAGCTGCTATCCTTAGGAGCCAGCAGACCAGCTGGGTGCAGACACTTGACAGAAGAGCACAGTAGGGTTAGGGCAGGGTGTGCTCAAGGCCTCGGGGGAGCCCCAAGGGTGGGGGGGCATCAGTCTTTCCTAGACAGGGGTCAGGCCAGCATGTCTCATCTGACGGGGGTGAAGAGGACCCGGGCCGAGCAATGGTTACCTTGGTTCTGATGAAGGTGGCCAGTGGCCCCCTGCCCAGCTCTGACGAAATCCTTTTACTGCTGCTGAGGGAAGGTGCCACCATCTGGCCGGCCGTGCGGTCCACATAGATGAAATGGACCAAGCCCGGGAAGTCTTCTAGGTAGGTGAAGGTCGGAGTTAAGGTGCTCATAAAGCCAGGGACCAGGGAGAGTGCTACTCTGTCCTCCACCTAGGCTTCCGGCAAGGCTAAGCAGTGGGGTCCGGAGGCCAGGCCCGCCATGCCCACCTCTCCCCACAGTTGCCATGTCAGCCAACCTCCTAGGGCCCCCGTTTTTCCAGGCCTCTTTACCTCTGAAGCCCCAACCGTGTGAAATTCTCCAATGCAAGTACAATGGATCCCTGGACACTGGCACATCTAACCTGGGGAGTTCTAGACCCAACAGGAATAGTGAATGTTCTTTTTTCATCATTTTCATGAGCGAAGAGTTTAGATCACATACACAGTGAGGCTGGTGTGAGAGCAGACCTACCTATAGGCCTATGAATGAGCCCAGCTGACCGTCCAACCCACACACCTCGGTGTGGTTTTGTTTCTCTCTCCACACTTCACCTTCTGAAGCTGGAAGGTTCCCACTGGAAAGGGAACAGCCAACATGGCAAGGTGATGGCTGGTGGCTAAAGGGGGCCTCTGTCATCCCTTTCACCTGCATACTGAGACCTTAATACAGGAAAAGCTGCTTTATATAAAGTTCCAAAGCAAATCAGTATTCGATAAAACTAGTGTTCCATAATAAAAGGGTCAAACAGGTCTTGGATAGGGTTTTTTTAAAGAAGGATAAACATTTTTGGTGTAGGCCTTCTCAGAGCCTTCACGTTCCACCGTGTTCTGTGACATCTAAGGAGGACACAGCCTCTCTAGCCCACCTGAGCCCAGGACCCCTGCCCTTCCTGGAGTAGCTGTTACCCCTTTGCTGGCTGGACAATGTCAACATAATCCCCAAAGCTTTTATGAAGTCACTGAGGGACAGCAGGGATTTGTGAAATTTCAGTCCTGGGGCATTCCTACAGACGACACACCCATGACGGTATCTCCTATTCTTCAGAGAAAAGAGGCTGAGGTGGTGGAATGTATCTGCTCCCTCCCAAGAGCCCAGGGTCCTGCAGAGTGGGCAGGCGCGGGAGACACGCAGACACGAGGGGCTCGGGCATGAGGATATGACACCATGGTGACGTTCCTCCTACTCTTCACCAACAAGAAGTCCTTCCAGTCCATCAGCTTCTCTCTGCCGGGGAAGCAGGGGAGGCGGGTGGGGTGCAGCGCCTCAGCCCCTGCTCTGGCTAGTGGGGGCCACCCCCATACTTACTGCATGACGGCCTGCACCTGGCCCTGTAGCTGCTGGGGCAGATGGGGGCCCCCCCGGCCTGGAGCTGTGGTCAGGAAGCTGAGACGGTAGATGGCACAAAGCTGCCGCTTCACCTTCCCACACGCCTGGAGCAGCCTGGCATCAGAGAGGAGGGGAGCGTGACAGCGGGAAGGGCCCTGGAGGGGGGCTGTCCGCATGTGCGCTGGGGACACACACACCTAGGACCGCACTTCACCCCACGGGTCACCTCCTGACCGCTGACAGACACAGCTGCTGAAGCACACCCTTGCCCTCAGAGGCACCGGAGGCAGCTCCCCGGGTTTCCCCCCGGTGTGGTGCGCGGTACTCGGGTGGAAGCTCCTGGAATCTCGCCCCACCCCCATGGTTTATTTTATGGAGAAATGAGAGGAAGAGCACCCTTCAGGGCCGAGGCTGGGCGGGAACGTGAGTCCTCTGCCCCACGTTAAGTCCTCAAGGCCCTCTCCTCCACCTGCAGCCCCTCTGCCTCCCAGCCTTCCTCCAGCGTCTGCGGGCCGGACTCGGCTCTCTGGAAAGCCCCTCGCCCTCCTGAGCGCCTTCCTGAGCATCCTCTCCCTCTTGGCCTGGAGGAACCTGCCCCTCTGTCCAAATGATTCCCCCCCATCCTCAGAGCCCACCACTCACTCCCAGGATGATCCGGGTTCGCTCCTGGAGAAAGCCTTGCTCTTGAACTCCAGCCACGTGCTCTGGAGGACAGGGGACAGGTTGGCTTCGTGCTGACGGCCCCACAGTGAGGTCCAGAGGAGACCCTTGCGATGTCGGGCTTGGTGAGGGACCCACACCTCTCGCCCGCTTGAGTATTTAGGCTCAGCACGCAGCTGCCCTCACACAGTCAAGCTGGCTCTCTGGCAGGTCCCCCCAGCTCTCCATACCCCGCCATACATACCGTTCTCTTCAGTCAGCGGTTCTTTAAAGAGCAGTTTTTGTGCAGCAAGCACGGGGCTCACTGCCGAGCTGGCAGAGACGTGTAAACTAATGCTGTCAGAGGGACAGGCGAGGGCCCCAAACAGGACGACGCGGAGCAGGCACTGGGGTGCTGAGGTGCGGCCCTGGCAAGCTCCTTAAAGGGGGACTTTACATCCGACCCCCACGCTCACCATGATGGCCCGAGGCACTCCTCGCTCTGCCTCCTCCAACCATTCTTCTCATTTTCAGACGCACGTGTGTGGCAGCCACAGTGAATCTCGGGTCCTCAGATGACCCAAGCTCCACCAGCTGCTTCCCCTGGGTGACCTACCCCTCCCGAACTCCGTGGAGGCCCCCGGCGGAGACTGTGCGTTTCTACTGTCTAGGCCCCTCCAGCCTCATCTCCAACCTGGGCCGTGAGGGGTGCCGGGCGCAGGCTGCCGGCCTTCATGGCGCCCTAGAGTCAGGCTCTGCTCCTGCCACTCGCCTGCCCAGGAATCTGTGCCCTGGTTTCCTCACATAAAACACGGGATTTTGAATTCACGTTCTGCCAAACTCACGTCAAAATGCTCTGAAAATACTGCTAAGTTTCTGCTATCACTTCGTGATGGGGGAAACAAGGATCATGGGCCCACGGTGGGGCCACTCCCGCAGTGTGGACAGAACAGACCCTGCCACCCCGGCCCTGCTTCCTCTCCCAGAGGCCGCTGTATCTGGGAACTCGGCCTCACCTGAATCTCTTGCCCCCCGCGATTCTTGACAAACTTGTCCATCCTCTGCCGCAGGTCGCCCATGAACGGGTGGGACCGCAGGGTGCTCCCGGCCTCCTGCCCCTCCTTCAGCTTCTTCTCCAGTAGGGAAAACCCGTCCAGCAGCTGGTACAGGACGAGGGCCAGGGGGGTGCTGGGGCCCTAAGGGAAGAAGCTCAGGGCAGGATGAATAGGGGCAGTGTGCGGGAAGGTATCCAGGCTGGGGCACCGCCAAGGGAGGAGGGGGTCGCTCCTACCTTGGTTAGGAGTACCATGTTGATGCCCGGCCACAGGGGCAGGCAGTAGGCAGTGTGGGGCACCATGGGGCAGTGGCTCTCCTTCACGTTGGCATCTAGGAAAATCCTTCTGGGGCAGGAAGCGACTGGGGAGGGACGGACCAGCGTCTGGAGGCTGTCTTCAGCTATCTGCGGAGAAGAAGAGCCGTCCGTGGGAGGGCTGTGGCCGGGGAGCGGGGAGCCGCCTGGCCTCTGCCTCACGCACCCACCCATGGTTGCCCATTTGCTGTCTCCCCTGTGAACCACGGGGTAAACACTTTAGCTCCATGAAATCCAGTTCTTCAATTCCTGCGCCGTTACCACGGCCTCAGCAGCTCCCCTGTCTCCTCGGAGCCATTCTACCCGGAGTCAGGACTGGGTGGCAAGCAGGGGCCGTGAGGAACAGGAACTGGGGTGGATGGTAGAAAAGTGACTTAAAGGGCAGGAAAGGTTGGGGGTGGGGGGAGCTCTGTCCCAGGCCTTCACTCGGACAAAGGCATGTCAATATCGCTGTCATTCTACCCACCCTGAGAACATCCGGACCGCTGGTCCCATGGGGGAAACTGAGGCGTGGAAGGACTAAATGAGCAAGACTCTAGTCTTACTAAATAAGTAAGAAGGGCTTTGGAAGGAAAAAGTAGAGAATTGAGGAAATCACCAGAGATGCCACGAGACCTTCTCTATCAGGATGGCACTGCAGTGTGAGAACAGCCAAAAAACTAGCAACGACGTACTAGCTGTTGAGCGGATCTGTTAAATAAGTTTGACAGAGGCACGTGACGGACTCTTATTCCTTACAGACCAGTGCGGAGTAAATGGAAAAATGCTCAAGGAAAACAGTGTAACGAAGGACATTAGGATTCAAATTTGGTAAAAGAAAAAAATACACGTAACGTATAAATATACATACATACACGGATATGTACGTATACGAATGTAAAATCAGAGAGAAGACAGAAACACCCCAAAATCTTAATAGTAGTTAGCATCTGGGGGAAGGATTAAGAGTGACTGAGTGATTTTCATTCCTTTTCATACTTTTGTATTCCCCAATTTTTCTACAATGAATATACTTACGTTCTAATTTAAAAAGTCATCACAAATTAAGTGGGACTTTCAGTTCCAAAAACAGTGAGGAGGGTGGGATTCCTCAGGAGTTGAGGTCGCCCTCCGCCCACCCCCCGCCCTCCTGGCCCCGGCCTCTGGGATGAGCTCTGTGCCCCGCACTGACCAGCCCTGAGGCGGCAGCAGGAGGGCCTGTGCGGAGTTACGGGGAGCAGACACCTCAGAGTCCCCAGTGCCCACCGGAGCGTCTCCGATCAGCCAGTGCCCGGTAGACCTTCCCTCCCCAGGAGGAGGGAAGGAGAGACTCACCTGGACCTGGGGAGCATCCGTGGGTGGGGTGCCCTCATCCAGCCAGACAGTGCTACCTACAGAACACAGGTGATAACATAAATAACGTGAAAACGTGAACAACGGCTCAGCAGTGTGTCAGGAGGGGAGGGTGGGGCAGAGTACCTGGCAGGGGCGAGGGCACTTAGTAGGGGCTGGAGCAGCACTGCCCTGCTCATCTGACCCCAAGCTGGAAGTGCAGGGTGCGCTCTGCAGTCCCAGGCTAGAGCAGCCTGGGCAAGAGAAGCTCCCCGCAAGGCCAGCTGCTGGGTGCAGGCTCCTGAGGAGGTGGCTGGAGGGGGGGGGGGAGGGGGGGCATGCCCCTCCTTGGCCCCCTGAACCCCTCCTCAATTCCACCCTCGGGTCCCTCCCTGTCTACCATGGTGCCTCTCTCCCAGAAGGCAGCACACTTATTCAATCAGCAAACCTTTACTGAGCACCTACTCTGTGCAGGGAATTGAGCAGCTTTCCTTTCCCAGCAGAGCTCCCAGAAACTTACTGAACCCATTACATATTTGAAATATTACATGTTTGTAATAATATTGTTCTCCCTTATATCTCATTGCAAAGAGCCATCATTTGTAATCATGTTTCTCTAGGGAAGCCTGTTGATAGATACATGTGAACACCTGATTTACAAATGAATGAGTACAACTCAAGCCATTTGTAAGCGGTGAATTCCAGGCACTGGGAAATGGCATTATTTACAGCTCTGAGGCATGAAAACTAACCACTGAGAAAGAGGCCAGGAGGGGGGTTGTGATGAATGAGGGAAGGGAGCAGTAAGAAGAAAAAGGAGCTTTGGTGATCACCCCAAAGCAGTGTCTCTTGGTGTGTTCTGGGCTCACGGAGAGCTTAGGGACGAGAGGACAGCCACGGACCCTGGGGCCCACAGGAATGTGTAAGTCTACAGGAGCGGGTGTGGGGTCTCAGGGGTCCCAGGCTCCTCGAAGCCCAACCACGGACTTCAAGTTAAGAACATCTAACCCACTGGTTTTCAAATGCGGCTGCACATGAGACCTTTTGAAAATCTTGATGCCCAGGTCACATCCCAGATCCATTAAGTCCCAATCTCTGGCACAGGCAGGCCTGGCTTCGGGAGTTTTTAAAGACTCCTCGGTAAGCCCACTGTGCAGCAGGGTTTAGAGCCACTGCACTAACCTAGATCTGCGTGTAGGGCTGGCTCCCCCGCTGATGCTCACTGGCCTCACGGGGCAAGTTTCTAGAAGTATTCTTACCTGGGTCCTTCACAGACTATAGCTTCACTGGTCTGGCTGAAGCGGCCTGGCTGGTTCTCACGTGCAGCCAGGGTGGAGAACCAGTGGCTTAAGGACACCACACAGTAAATTCCTTTCAAAACTCAGTCCCTGAGAAGCGTCTTCTCCTGAACCCCTGGCCTTCCTCTATTAGGTGACGTGAGCCATACGATCCTTCCTTCCCCCCAAGAGCTTCAGAGGTGAGTGTGACACCCATTCAGAGGGACTACAACAGTACGGATTTTGGCTTATCTTTTTCTTCAGCACTGTTGTCTATTGTTTTGTTAGCAACGTTTTGAATATTTTTCGTTTCTTTTGTTTACCCACCCACATTGTCTGGAAAAACAGGTGAAGTATAGAGACTGAATATATACATTTTAAACCATTATACTTGAAATCAAATGATTATTATTTAATTTTAGTTACGCATTGACTGATTTAAAAAAAAAGGGCAGAGAATACCCCTATGGGAGATGACTTTTTAAATGAAATCAGCTTGTCACACAGCTTTAGGAATCATTTGAGTGGTTGAGCTTCCATTCAGGCTGGAGCTGGCGAGAGTGGGGGTGCAGAGGAGGACCTGCGGGCAGCAGCATCCTCTGCTCTAGCCCCCTCCTCTGGCTCCTCCCCAGGCCTCACCTGAGCTGTGCTCCCTGGGGGAAGGAGCTGGTGTGAAGTACTCCTCAGGGAGGGAGAAGCTGTCGGTCTCCTGGGAGGGAGAAGAGGGCATCTTGGGCCGAGGGCTGGGAGAGCGTCTCCTAAGGGCTCCACCCTGGGCCCCGCTCCCCTCCACACACGGTTGCTGCAGAACTCCTCCTGGCCCGGGCTGTGGAAGCAGGGCCCCAGGCCTGCTGCACGGGGATGCTCTGGCTGCTCCACGGCTTCTGTGGGGAAGGCCGCCGTCAGCAAGGGAGACCTAGTCAGAGCTCCTCTTCTGCTCTACTCCTCCCCGCCTCCCCAAGGAGCCCAGTGCTTCCGCCCACAGCCCTCCACCCTCTGCGCCTGCTGCCACCACGCAGCCCTGGGGGGGGCGCGTCCTCACTTTCCACCCAGGTTTCAACGCTAGGTGGCCTAGTCTTTCTCCAGAACCGCTGAAATTCCCGAAATTCCAACACACTGGCAACCGAGCCGCTGCCGATAATGGGGATGGTGTGGGCAAGGATGGTGGCACCCACCGAGCACCCCAGGCACCGCCGGCCAACTGTCCCCTACTCCTCCGAACAGCCCTTGTCCCATTGCACAAATAAGGGAATCGAGGCCTAGAGCGGCAGGGACTCCAAAAATCTGCCCTTCTCACTGACTAAACCACATGCATTCTAGAAACAGGAAGCCAAAAGCCTGCCCAGAACGGTGATGCAGAAACACAGCCTCCCCAGGTGGTCTGCCCAGCACTCTGCAGACTGGGTTTTGGAACTGCCCGGGGAGCTGGCCCAAGACCTGAGGGTCGTCGTCCTCCGCTGTGGTCTCGCTGGGGTAGCGCTCCTGGACCAGGAGGATGAGGGCGAGGAGGTCAGCTGGGCGCAGGGAACTGGCACTGTGGCTGCGGAGAGAGCAGCCGGCTGTCAGCGCACACTGGCGCCCCCTGCAGGTAACAGCGGGCGCGGGGCATGCAGGTTAAGGGAGTTTGGAGCAGGGTCCCGGCTCTCAAGGAATTTATGAACGTGTCAGCTGGCTTAATCCTTCTTGGAGAAAGGCAAGGTACAAATAACATTAAGCAGTTCATTAATTTTTAAAATAAAACTTGGTGTATTAAAGAAAAAAAAAGCCCACCAATGAGAAACCACTGGGGACCAGTCACAGCCTATGGGGAACTTCTAGAATTCAGATTCGGAGACAGTGTTCCGGAAAGACCTAATTCAGAGAAGGGAATGAACTGAGAGGGTCAAGAACTGAAGAGTTAAGGAGGCTTCAGGGAAGAGATGGGTCTTGAAGATCTTCTTGGCTAGGGAGGTGGTGCTTTTTAGGTAGAGGGAATAAAGGGCCAGGGCGGGGGGGCGGGGAGGCAAGGGTGTGGGCCACCGCCTCCTGGGACCAGGGCTCACCTGGAGTAGAAGGCCAGCAGCTTGGAGTGTACGAGCAGGAAGGCGTGCAGGGCCTCCTCGCCGGCCCTCTCGGGGCTGGAGTTCACGGCCTGGATGACGTGCCGCTCCAGGGCCTCTATGCATAGCTCACAGAGCTGAGGGTGAATCAATCGCTCCACAGCCTGGCGGGCAGGGAAAGGAAGCCGTGTCACCGACCACCCTCCCCTGCTCCAGGCCCTGGCTGGTGGGTACACTCGCTCAGTCCACGCTGAACGCATGCTATGTGCCAGACACTTGGGAACAGGGCGACTTGGGCCAGCCTTCCTGGGGCTGATGGTCTGGTCACTAGACTCTAGTTGGATGAGACAGACACTATGCCAGGAAAGAGACAAGAGAAACGCCAACTCGAGTAAGTGCTGTGTAGGAAACACCTGGTACCGAACAGCACCTACTTGGGTAGGGTGTCCGAGGATAATGTCCTGGAGGAAGTCACCTCTAAGTTGATATCTAAAGAACAAGAAATCCTGTAAGAGAGAGTGGGGGGGCAGAATGCTGCGAGCCGAGAAAAGAGCATATGCAAAGGCCCTGAGTTGGGAAGAGAGCTCACAGTGGTGCTGTCCAATGGATCTATAAGGCAAGCCCTACGCATAATTTAAACTTTGCTAGTAACTACACTTAAAGAGTAAAAAGAAATAGGGGAAATTAATTTTAATATTTATTTTATCCAATATACCTAAAATCGTATCATTTCAATATACAATATAAAAGCATTATTAATGGATGTTTGACACTCTTTTTTTGTACTAAGACACCAAAATCCAGTGTATATTCTACATGTACAGCATAACTCAATTTGGACAAACTAGATTTCAAATGTTCAATAGCCAAATGTAGCTAATGACTACCGAACTGCACAGAATTAAATATCCAGTGCTCCTGATATGGAAAGAAGTCCTGGGAGGCCAGGGCGCAGTGAGTAAGGGCAGAGGGGCATGAGCTGGGGTGAGTCCCGCAGTGGCAGGTCATACAGGGCCTGGTCGGTTCCGGAAGGAGTGTGGATTTTAAGTTAACTGCATTAGACCATCTCCTACAAGAAGCCTTTCCTGATGTCTCAGAAAGAGCTGGTAATGCCATCCCTCGTGCCATCGTGGATTCGGATGGGAAACCCAATAAGGCAGCACCCAGGATGCTTTATTATGCTTTCAGGCATATATGTACGGCCGATTTCCTCTCAAGGGCAGTGATGGTATCTTCACTCATCTCTGTTCCTGAAGCCTGGCACACCTCTTAGCATACAGTAGGTAGTACACATTTATCAGAGGAGTGAGGGAGCGGGTGCTGCTTATTTTTCACTACTGTCCATGCTAGTTTCAGCTCAATATAATTTGGCGGGGGGCGATCAGAATTGAGGGAGCTATCTTCAGAATTTCCATAATTTACTGTGAGCCCCAAACTGCATTAAAAAGCCTGTTTTATTTAGGGTCTCACTGTTTTATTGTAGGGAGCCCCATCAGAGTATCGAACCCACCATGAGGCCACAAAGAACAACCTTCTAAAGATAAGAGTCTGAGGGTCTGTGACCTCACTCATGACGCGGCGGGTGGTGTGTGTGTGTCAAAACTTGGCCTTAAAGCTCCTCAGCCCTCTGACCTGACACTCCTGTGGCCTGAGACCTCCCGCGCCCAGTAGTCACCTCCACAGCGAAGCACTGCTCCTGCTCCCGCAGGCGGCCATACGTCCACAGCAGGCTCTGGAAATGCTCCCACACCTGGATGCGCAGCTCAAGGTCTGGGGGCCGCAGCCTGGGGGCAGAGCAGGAGAGACCCTGAGAAAGCTGCCTGTCCCCACCTTCAACCAAAGGAGCAGAGTTACCATCAGGGCTGGGCAAGCTCGTGTGACTTGAGGCGACAAGCAGGAGAGCCCTCCGAGCGTGGAAGGGCTGGTCCAGGCTGCACCCTGGCCATGGAGGGGGAGCACAGGACCAGGAAGTAGGCGCCCAAGCAAACACTTCACCTCTCAGTTTCCTTCATACACGGACATACGACACGAGGTCAGCTAGAGAGTCTCCAGGAAGGAGCCAGGGGTGGAGTACAAATGAGCAGCTTCACAGAGGCCGGCCACCTGCTGCACGGCCTGAGCAGGTGCTTGGCAGAGGACCCAAAGGGGACCGAGACGAGGACTCACTCCTTTCGGATGAGCTGGCCATCCACGGTGACCAGCCCGAAGTGCACCTCGAACAGGTACTTGAGCACGCACAGCTTCTGCCGCAGGTCACCCTCGCCCTCCGTGTGGTCTCCATTGATGGCGATGAACAGGCATTCTCCAAACTGTAGGCGGAGGGGGCTGGTGTCAGCCAGCCCCAGGGGACCCCTCACCTGGCCTGATCCTGGAGGAGATCGAGGGGAGGCCTAGGTCCCAGGGGATTCTGATAGGGCGGTTTCTGCCTTCTAAAGGAGTCTGAAGTTCAAGGTAAGGGCGAGGCATGTGGACAGATAGCCCACGGCACTGAGGGAAGAGGAACACGGGCTCAGGGGTTACACACTCACCAGGTGAAGGACGTACAGATAGTTGCCATTTTCCGTTGAGAAGCACGTGTATGTATCTGAGAGCTTCTCCAGCATGGTCATGGAGGAGATGATGACTGGGGCCAGGAGGGTGCTGAGCTGGTCCTCCATGGCAGGAAGCTGCAAGAGGGGAAGAAAGTAACAGCGCTTGGAGTGCCAGACCCCGGTGACAAAGGAATGGACAAGACCCAGGCCTCGCTAGCAAGGGCGTCCGTAGTTTTAGACCTGCCTGGAAGGTACCACCGCCCTGACAGGGAAGGAGGCAAGAGGAGACTGCACCCAGCACCTGAGTGGTAGTGAGAAAAGGCTGGGAAGGGTCAGCCAGCTACCTGTGCCGTTCTGCCTCTGAATCCAGAAGGAAGCATTAAGGACTTAGGCCACATCTCCACAGGGGAATGTGTGGGGCATTTAATGGAGCACTGACCGACTCTTAAGGACGTTCTCTACGTGTCCTAAAGTCCATGCTTTTTGTTGCAGTTAGGTCTACTTCCGGGGAATGTATCCTAAGGACAATGATCGGGGATAGGCCAAAGATGCGCACAAAGATGCTCACTACAGCATAACGCACGGCAGCAAGCAACTGTAAAAACCTGAAATGCTCTGCACCAGCGAAACAGTTAAGGAAATAACAGCTCAGCTAAATGACGGAAGAAGGTAAAGCCACCTAAAATAGGGGAATGTTTCAATGACATGGAAGATTCTTCTGATGTTATGTTAAAAAAAATTGCTGTGAGTGATATTTTAAGATGCATAAAAAAACCCAAGTATTGAAAACATATGAAGAAAGTCAATGCAATGCTGCTAAAGTTATTCCTTCTGGCTGAGAGAGTATGAGACTTCCCCCACTTTTTATGCTTCTGTACTGCCCCCATTTCCATAACAAGCCAACCTTCACTTTTAGGAGCTCTTCCTCCAACCAGTCTCTCCGCCCTCCAAAATCAGGAACAAAACAAACAGAACCAAAGAGAAACTGGACAAATTTGCTGACAATCCGCAAATAAAACTGCATAAAGCCAGCAGAATGGGAACCACTCAAACCCTCCTCAATGGAAGGGGAAAAGAGAACAGCCGATCTTCCCCACACTGATCTCGGGAGACCTGACTGCAATATGGAGAAAGCCGAATCCCGACTTTGAGCTTGTGAAATCTGAAAGGAGAGGAGTCAGACCTTGCCTTGAAAAGAAAAACAGGCAACCAACCAGGGGCAACATGCAGCATTTACAACAGGAGCGGGATGCAACGCTGTGGTGAGGATTTCCTTCCAACTTCCTCAGCGCTCAGGAGCCGAGATGAGTCTAGCTTTAGCAGTGGTTCCTGCCCACCCCCTGGGCCCAGCTCAGATGGCCCCTCTCCTGACCATCCCGGCCACCCTGCCCCTGTCACTCCTTACCTTCCTCAGCACATTTAACATTCCCTTGACTCATGTGTTTATTTCCACCCCGTTCACTGTCTTTCCTCCTCCCTCTGTAGCCCTAAGTTCTACGAGAGCAGATCATGTTGCTATGGTCACTGCTTCACCCCCAGAGCCTGGTGCATAGTAGGTTCTCAGTTAATATTCACTGAATGAATATCCCTCCACGGAAGCAAACATTTGTTCAACTGCTCATGTGCCACAATTTTCTTGAACTGTCATGGACAGATTATGTTAACAGAAAGTCATTTAAAAATCTAGATTGTGTACAGAACTCGTTTTTTAAGTAGTGGCTTTTTCGGCAGGCGTAGCGAGATTTTTTTTTTTTTTAAAGGTTGGGAAGATGAAAATATTTGGCATAGGCAGAGTGTAAAGGAATTACTATTACTTGGAATTATAAAGTGGTACATTATCTTTGAATGGCTTTTGAATCAATGTCTCTGTTTATAGGAAATTATCCTAAGGAAACGAGATGTGGGATCAAATTCAAGCATGAATGTTCCCTACAGCAATAATTTTAGCAAACTAAAAACAATATACATGTCCAGTATGGGAAAAATGGTCAGATAAATGGTACATTTATTTATACACTGGAATATACTGCTTCCATTAAGATTTATGCTTTTGAGATTATTTAACAAAAAAGAATAATGCTTTTGATATAATGGCAAATGGATAAACAGAAAATAGAACTGTAAATGTGGTATGATCCCAACTACATATAAAAGATAAAGACCCAAAGGAAATATATAGAAGAGCTAATGGCTCTGGTACTAGAATTATGGGTCATTTAAAAACGATTTCTCTATATTTCCCAATTTCCTACAATTAATTCATGTTATTTATAGAATCGGGGAAAAAAATAAGTGTTGTGTACATAAAAATAAAACTTTAGTAGACATTTTTTCTTTAGTCACTTAGGAACTGAAAAATCAGGATTTTGTTCCTTTATAAGGCTTTTAATAAAGAGGAAGATAAACATGACCAGATAACTTGCTTCTTTTGCTTGTTTTATTCATTCATTCACCGATATACTGAGTGCCTTTCTGTCAATATTATGGCACGTTCTGGGGATACAGAGGTCTACTGATTGTTGGCTTCTTCAACTGGCCTGATTGAAATAGAAGTTTAAGAACAAAAATATTAAAACTTTATGTTTTGGGGCGCCTGGGTGGCTCAGTCGGTTAAGCATTCAACTCTTGATTTCAGCTCAGGTCATGATCTCGGGGCCCCAAGACAGCCCCGTGTCGGGCTCTGTGCTCAGCAGGAAGGCTGCCTGCGATTCTCTCCCTCTCCCTCTCCTTCTGCCCCCTCCCCTCTTGCACTCTCTCTCTAAAATAAATCATCTTTAAAAAAGAAAAAAGAACTATATGTATTGACTGCTAAAAATAAAAGAGCCTCATAGATAGACTTGTTTTTTAGCTTAAAGAAAACCACTAGAATGTCATGATCTCTGATATCTTTATTCCTAAAGACTGTGACAAGAATATTGGTGATGTTGGGTGGATTAAGCTGCTCATGCAGAACTGGCTCAGCTGGTGATTACACCCAATAGAGCGAGAAGGGGCTGGCAGGTCACCCGTCAGGGCTGCGCCAGAAATGCCAGAACTCTCTCTACTGCTTTCCCTGCAGAAATGTTTAATCCAAAATTCACCTGGAGAAAATTTTCAAAATAAATCACTCCTTTCAAACAGAGAGTAGAAATTATGAGTGAAAATGACAACTATCTCCGAGCTATAATATTTCCAGGGTCACTCTGGATGTCTATATGCAAAAGATAAACCTTCATCCATACTTTACATCATATACAAAAATTCAAAGGGGATCTTTAGACCTAATATAAAAGTGGAAACTATGAAACGTCCGGAAGAAGATATAGGGAAAACTCTGTGATCTAGGGTTGGACAAAGATTTCTTAGATATGACACCAAAAGCATGATTCCCTAAAAGCAAAAAATGGATACACTGGAGTTATCAAAATGAAAAACTTCCACTCTTTACAAAATACCAGTTAACGGATGTGAAGACGACACACAGACTGGAAGAAAATATTTGCAAAGCACTTACCAAATAAAGGACTTGCATCCAAACTATGTAACACTATCAAAACTCAGTAAGAATCCTAAGAAATAACCTCCCCAACAAAAAGACGGGCAAAATGTGAACCGACCTCAATGAAAAAAGACAGAGGGCAAATAAGCACATGAAATGATGTCAAAATCAGCCAATAGGACATGAAAATTATGAGGACAATGAGATTCCAAGAGATACCTATTAGAATGGCTAAAATTAAAAAGACCACAGCCAAGTGTTAGCGAGGGTATGGAAGGGGAACCCTCCTACATGCGTAGTGCGCTGGATACGCTACAACCCCTCTGGCCAAGCCTGGCAGTTGCTTACAAAGTTTAGCATACACCTCCACGACCTAGCCCTTCTACCCCAGCTGTCGACCCAAGAAAAGTGAAAGGCGACGTTCATACAAAGACCTGCACATGAATGTTCACATCTGCTTTATTGGGAAGAGTGAAAAATGGGCCACAGTTACCATCAGCAGGTGCACAGATACACCACCCATGGTGTGCCGATACCACAGACTACCTCCCGCTCAGCAGGGACAAGGAATACACTACTGATACCTGCTGCAACATGGATAAATCTCAAAATTATGCTGAGCTAGAAGCCAGACCAAAACCGCTTTGAGTATATACTGTATGACTTCATTTACCTAAAAGCCTAAAAAATACAAAGTCCTCTATTGTGACAGAAAGCAGACTGGTGATTGCCTAGATTGGGGAAGGTGGGGCAGGGGTCACAAACTTGTGGGATGACAAATGTATTTTATTGACTGTGACAGAATCACAGATCGCACCCTTTGAGAATGTTCAGTGTACGGTATGTCCATTATACCTCAACGTAGCCGTTTAAAAAAAATTGATGTGTTAAGCTTATGCTAAACTTTTTAGGGAGAGAAAACGAGGACACCAAATTTCTCTGTCGTGTGGTTTAAACTCTACCTCCTCCTCCTGCTCTCATTTAGCCTGATGAGCCCTGGTGGAGTAGGGGTGAAGTCACTAACTCGAGAGCGTCAAGAGGCCAACCTCTGAGGACGAGCAGCTGGGTGTGCAGGGCTCTGGACCGCACGCACCACCCTGTTAGTTCCTCAGGCTGGGCCAGGAGCGGGTGGGCAGGTTCTCCCGCCTCCAGGTACTTCTGGGCTGTTGTTCCCTCCCAACCCCCTCCTGCCCTGCACTCACCTCTTCTCCCTCAAACCCAAACTTCAGCCGCAGACTCTCTGCAAACTCCTCGTCTGTCCAGTAGAAGAGGACCTCTGCACCTTCTGTGGCCACTAAGACGCACTTCATCTGCCAGGGAGAAGCAAGGTCAAGGTCACCTCCCAGCCCCTTTATCCAGAAGCTCAGCCTGAGTAACGAAGAGGATCATAACCCCAGCAAACACCTACTGAGCCCTCACAGGGTACCGGGCTCCATGACAGGGGCCTTCCTGCTCTTATTTCGTCACACCCTCACAACCAGCTGAGGAGGCAGGAATCTTTAGTTACTCCCACTTTCTAGAGCAGGACTTCTCACAGCTTGGAGCTGCTGGGATCTAAACCCAGGCTAAGGCTGGGGCTCTTGCCTCTGTTTTCCAGTGCCTCTCGCCAGATCGTCAGACTCATCATGGGCCCACCTACACCAAGCATACGGAAGGACCCGGCTCCTGATCTGGACAGAGGATCAACTCCCCAAGAGGGGCAGGCAGTATGGTGGCTCATGGCCCTCAGTGCCTGGTCTAGGTGGAAGGAGGCTAATGCACCTCTCGCCAGGCAGTTCAGAAATGTGTTTCTCCTCGAGGCAAAAACAGTTCCAGAAGACAAGCTTCAAAGCCCCCAGGAGTGGGTTCAGCATGACATAACGTCATTCACGAGTTCCTTCTGCTCTGGGTGGAAACACCGGCTGCCTAACCTTGTCCACAGTTCACGCTCACACTTTTTTGGCTTCCTCAGCCACATCCCCCTGGATCTTTGGCCCTCCCAAACCGCCTTCCCCACCACCCACACATGCACCTTCTGTGCCACACATTTTAATGCCTGATTATACAAAACGTGTCTCATTATTCATCAGTGGGGAGAGTCTTAGCCCAGAGCGTCCCACCCTGTGCCTTTCATTCCCTGGGTGGTGGGGGGGGGGCAGCAAGACATTGATCCTCTCAACCTGGGGGCAGCCTGACCAAGCCGGGTGAGGTCCGAGTTCTCAGGTCAGCTGCTTGCAGATGAGCAAACCCCAGGCAGGGGCTTCACATCTTCTCTTGTGCCTCAGTGCGCCACACGGACAAGATCGCGTTGTACGTGTGCCGAGACATGACAATGACCAGAAAACTCTGCTCTGACTGCCCCATGAGGGGATGTCCAGTTTCAAAGAGGATCACAGCATCTTGAGGCCTCAGACTCAGTGACACTCTCCCGGATCCCCTAGGCGCCCAGTGTGGTGGCACTTAATGAATTCCTCCCCAATCTCCGGGGGGGGGGTTATCAACTCCGAGCACCTGGCCTCAAGGTGGTTCCTCCACAGTGAACAAAGAATGCAGCCTATTCCCGTGGAATTGCTCAACACCAGGCAGAGATGGGGAGAGCAAACAAGTGTGAAGCAAAGGCTGCTGGCTGAGGGCAGGTGACGTGGAAGAGGCGGCTCTGGGACTCCCAGGTGAGTGTGCTAAAGACAGGGGCTCGAGGGGCAGGCCTGATGGGAAGGGAGCGTGTGTGCAGGGCAATGGTGGGCTACAGCATGGAGGGTGGTCGGCAGCGGACAGCCCCCTGTAGGCTGGGAAGCCTGTGGGGAGTGACGTGCTGGGTGCAAGTGGGTGAGGTTAAGGATCCTGGTGTGAGGTAATGGGGGCCCACTCCTTGGGCGGAGGCCAGGAGAGGAAGGGGCCGATGCAAGAGGTGTAGCTTAGGGTGGTAGGCCTTGATGACGGCCCGGAGGCAGGGGAGGAAGGAGCAAACAGGCAAAGGTGACAGGAGCAGGCAGAGCTGGGGCAGGGGGTGGGGGGACAGGGAAGGCTCAGTCCGCTGCCTGCCCTGGTGTGTGCCACCCGTTGCCCCAGAGCCGGCCCAGAGTGAGTGCCGTCTGCCTCCGTTCTGCCCCCAGGGCAGGCAGGATCATCCACCTTGGCAAGGGGCACCGCCAAGCCCCCACACAGCCGGAGGTTCACAAAGGGCTGCAGGAGGCACACTCGACGACCAGCTCACGGAAAGCAGCACGGCATCTCGTGTCCTGAAAATGCTTAACACAGAGAAGTCATGAGGGCAAGCAGAGCCTCTCATCTGACTGCTGTCCATTTCTGGGAGCACCAGCTGATGAAGGACTCAGTGGTCACATGTCTCCCTCCCGCCCGTAGGCAGTCAGCTCAGAACATACACCCCACAGCCGGAGGCGCGGGCGCCCTGTATCCCTACCCCCCGCCCTTCCCGCAACACGAACCCGCCAGCACAGTCCTTTCGACATAGCAGGGGCCCACAAGCATTAACTCCCACCTCCTGTTTCCTTCCCGGCACTCTCATTTTACCGTGGGTCACTCAGAGCCCTGGTGTGGTCAGCAAACCCGCCCTTATCAGCGCCAATGGGCTTGGTCGGAGTGACTGGGGAGACAGCACAGCACACCCCAGACCCACAGGGAAGCAGGCCCAGAAGGGAGGGGACCTCCTGGGACGATGAAGGAAACGAAAAAAGGCACCAGAGACCTGGTTCTAGTTTCGACTTGGCCAAGGCAACTCTCTGAGTCTCAAACCTCTGCTCTACCTCCCTACAGGGTTATAGGGAAAAACAGAAGAACCGGGCGGGAAGCACTTAGCAAACCCTGCTTTCTTACACAGAAGTGGGCTTACTTTCCCTTGTTATTTCCCAGCTTCTCTTTGTAAACTGGCTCCAGAATCATTCACATTTTGATGATAAAAGGCAGGGATAACATAAAGCTGTAACCTAATCCGGAAACCAAACGTTGTAAGCAAATAAGAGGCAAGAAAGGAGAGTTAGGGGTTCAGCATCTTTTGCCGCATAACCGAGACTAGCTACATCACCGGCATGACGGGCCTTAATGACAAATTCCCAGAAAAGTGGAAATGCTTTTCTTAGGTTCTACTGTTGCTGGAAAGCGAACCTTGCCTGTGGTGTCATTTTGTGATTTCCCTGTTCTCCTCTATCCTGCTCTAAAGAGGCCCCACAGGCCTCACTGGAGCTCCAGATGGCGCGGGGCCAACCTGGGGAAAACCCCCGGCCCCATTTTCACCACCTTCCCCAGCAAACCGCCCTCAGGCCGCCGCGCCCGCCTCCCAGCAGCTCTGTTTCGGGGCGCTCGGCTCCGTCCAGGTCCCGGCCTTGCCCCTGCTGGGCTGGACGACCCGGGAGAGAGAATCCGTGGGGCGCCCGCCCCATGGCGCCTTCCTGTGTGCCCCGCACTCCACAGTTTACGCAGCACCCCCAAGCCCCCGCGAAGCTCACAGCTACCCTGGGAAGAAGGCCCGGCTGGGGGCGCCCGCCCCACTCCGTGGCTGTAGAAACCTAGGCTCCGAGAGGTGAAGCGGAGGGCCCCCCGGCCAGAAGGGCGGGGTCTGTGCGGCCGAGGTGGGGCCCGCCCCCACTTCCGGGAGGGCCGCGTGGGGGTGGGGGAGGCAGGAAGCCCCGCCGCCCACGGAGGGGTGGTGCGCGGAGCGGTGCTCGGACGGAAGGCGAGGCCCACGTACCTGCTCGCCGCCCTACACCGCCCAGCCAACCGGGCCCCGCGGGCGCGCTTCCGGGTGCGACCACGTGGCTTCTCCGCGTCACTGCCCCGCCCGGAGGAGGGGCTGGAAGCGGGTGCGGGCTCCGCGGGTTCGAGCCCGCCCCCCGCTAGTGGAGGCGTTGCCTCTGCTAGTGGACCCCTTCGCTCTGCTCGGTCGCCCGGCCCCGCGAGCTGGGGCTCTTCCGGTTCCGCGGCCGCATTCCTTCTGTCGTCGAAGAGAGCGCGGAGGCCTGCGGAGTTGGGGGGGTGCTGCCCGCAGCTGTCAGGGGCACCTGCTGCGTCCGCCACTGGGCTTGCCCCTCCGCTGGCTGTAGCTCTAGTGATTCCCCACCGAGGCACTAGGGACATGTCCCTTTTCGCCCCGCTTCACACAGGGGAAAGCAAGGCCCAGAAAGAAGAAATAATTTGCAGAGGGCCCGAGTTAGGATCAGAGCCTAGGTCTCCTGGCTCCCGCGCGGCTCTTTCCCACCCTCTGGCTTTACCTGCTGAACCGCAGTTCCCGAACGAGAGCTGCCCTCCGTGACTGTTTTCCGTGGCCTGGGGAGAAGACAGCCCGCCCAAGGGCCCGCTTGCCCCCACTGTGCCAACGCTGGAATTTCGTTATAAAGGTTCTCAGTCCTTTTGGGAGGCGGGGTGCACCTGAGGGGCTTTGTTTAGAACCCGTGTTTTCAAGATTTTCTTAAATTGTGTATTTGGAGTGGCCGAAGTGCGGGATTGCTGATGAAGATCATGGAAGGGAGTAAATCCCCTCCCAGGTCACCCCTCAGTGCCTTGGTGTTGCCTGGGGCTTTGGGCGCAGCACAGCAGAGGATGAGTTGTGGGGACTGGTGGGGCCCAGCAGATTGTACACCCCCTGGGGAAAGGCAGGGACCAGGAATTAATGCCCCCACCACCTGCAGACAAAGCAAGGAGCACTACCCCTCCCCCCCCCCGCAAATGTTCTCTCTCTCCTTCCCGGCTCACCTTAGGGTCCGCACCTTCCAACTCCCCAACTGCTGCACATACCGGATGCAGGCATTGCTCTCTGCAGCCCACAGTCGAGTTTGGTCTGGCTGTGCGCTCTTCATCCTGCTATTTTCACTCCCCTTGTTTCTCTCCTATGTCAGACTCTTCATAAGCATGAATTTCAGTGGTTGAATAAATTCCATCAAATGGATATGCTGCCCTTCTTCTCTCTGACTGCTAGTAGTTTCCAGTTCCCACCAGCAATGTAGGAAGGTCCCAATTCTCCACATCTGCGTCAACACTTGCTATTGTCTGTTTTTATTTAGCCATCCTAGTGGGTGTGAAGTGGTATCTCCTGATTTCGATTTGTGTTTTCCTGATCACTAATGGTGTTCAGCGTCTGTTCATGTGCATTTTGGCCATTTGTATACCTTCTTTCGAGAAATGGCTATTCAATTCCTTTGCCCATTTAAAAGTTGTCTATTATCAAATGGTAAGTTCTTTATACTGGATACGAGTCCCTTAGTAGATCTATGATTTGCAAATTTTTTTCCCATTATGTGGGATTTTTTGGTTTGGTTTATTTTTGCTTTCTAAATGGTATCACTTCTGGCACAAATGTTTTCAATTTTGATTTAATCCAATATACCCATTTGTAATGCTTTTGTGTCAACATAAGTTTTTATTTTACTTGGGTAAATATTTAGGGGTAGGATGGCGGGGCTGTATGATAAGTAACTGTATGGTATGGGGTGTATGGTAAAGTGCCTGCACTATTTTACACACCCCTGGCAGCACTGAGAGTTTTCGCTGCTCTGTAGCCTCCTTAACACTTGACATTGTCCTTTTATAATTTTAGCCATTCTACTAGGTATGTTGTAGTATCCCACCCACTGGGGTTTGAATTTCCATTTTCCTAATGACTAATGACGTTGCACTTCTTTTCATGTGTTTATATGCCATGTGTATAGTGTTCAAATCACTTTCCCATTTCCTAAAATTGGATTTTTCTCTTATTATTACTTATATGATTTCTTTATATATTTGGACATGAATTCTTTATCAGATATCTTTTTTCCTTTTTTTTTTTTTTTTGCCAGCCTCTGGCTTTGTCTTTTCATTTTCTTTACAATGACTTTCGAAGAACAGAAGTTTTTGTGTTTTTTGTGCCACTGCCCAAAACATCTTTGCCTAAACCAAGGTCACAAGGATTCCTCCTGTTTTCTTCCAGCAGTTTCATAGTTTGTTTTGCACTTAAGTCTGTGATCCATTTCAAGTTGATTTTTGTAGAAAGTGTGAGAGAAATGTTCAGGTTCATTTTTTTTGTGTAAGATACCCAATTTTTCTAGCACCATTTGTTGAAAAAATATCCTTTCTTCATTGAATTACTTTGACACATTTGTCTCAAATAAATTGACTATAAATATGTGGATCTATTTCTGGATTTTCCATGCTGTTCAGTCAATTTAGAAGGATGCAGGTCACATAAGGATTTTATTAATTTTCTCAAGCAGGTTTTGGTTTCAACAATTTTCATTGGTTTTTCTGTTTTTTATTTCACCAATTTCTACACTGTTTACTATTTCCTTTCTTCTGTTTACTTTGGATTTAATTTGTTCTTCATTTAGTTTCCTAGGGTAGAAACTGACCCATTGATTTGAGACCTTTTGTCTCCAACAAGGGCGTTTGCTACTATAAATTTCCCCCAAGGTACTGTTTTATCAGCATCCACAACTTTTGATATGTTGTATTTTCATTTTCAGTGAGTTCAAAATGCTTTCTAATTTTTCCTTTGATTATTTTTTTGGCCCATGGATTATTTGGAAGTGTGGTATTAGTTTCCAGCTATTTGATGGTTTTCCAGGTATCTTTCTGTAATTGGTATCTCTTTCAGTTCCATTTGGCCAGAGAATATGCTTTGTGTGACTTGAGTCCTTTTAAATTTATTGATGGCCTAGGATATGATCAATCTTGGTGAAAGTTCCAGGTGTACTTGAAAATAATATATATATATTTTTGGGGGTTGAGTGATCTACAAATGTCAATTTAAGCCAAGTTGGTTGATAGCTACATTTAAGTCTTCTCTCTCCTTAATGATTTTCTGTGTCCTTACTCTATCAAATATTGAGATAGTGATATTGAGTTCTCTAACTATAATTTTGAATTTGTCTAGTTCTCCTCATGGTTCTGCCAGGTTTTGCTTCATATCTTTTGAAGCTCTGTTATTTGATGCATATACATTGTGATTGTTACGTTCTCTTAATGAATTAGCACCTATATCATTATAAAATTACCTTTTAATCTTCGACGCTATTCATTGCACTAAATCTACTTTGTTTGAGAACAATGTAACCACTACAGCTTTATTTTGATTAGTTCGCATGGCATGTGGCGTGTGATTAGTTCACATGCCATGTTCAGGACATGCAACCCCAAAATATGCCACTTTGGTATCTTGATTATTGTGAGCTAAAGGCACTTGAAACACAGCAGGTGCAAGAAGGGTATGCTGACCTTCCCTTTTCTTTCTGCAAGCAGGGGATGAAACTCCCATGGGAAAGATGCCCTCCCCTTTCCAGGAGGAAAGGAACTTTCTTCTCATCAGAGAAAGGGAGTCTAGGCAGAGAGAAATCTGTACAAATAGACTGGGTTAAAATAAATCCTTTCTGTAGTCTCTGCGTATGGTTTGGTTACTTTTCCACATTCGCCACTCTTTCTTCAGCCTAGTATATAAGCACTTAGGCCTGGCCAGTTCTTTGGATCTTCATTCTTAGGGGGAGCTCCCCTGGACATGTTAAAAATTATTAAATAAAAATCTCTGCGCTTTTCTCCTGCGACTCTGCTTTACATCAGCCTCAGCCAGAAGCCCTGAGAGGGTAGAGGAGACATTTTACCTCCTCTGCGTATGTAATTTTCCCTCTTTTACTTTTAACCTACTTGTGTCTTCCTATGTAAAACACATTTTTTTGTAGGCAGCGTAGAGTTGGGTCTGATTTTTTTATCCAGACTGACAGGCTCTGCCGGATGGAATTGTGATTGTGTGTGAAGAACAACTCACGCGTGATGTGGTTATGACTGTGGTTTAAAGTCTATCAGTCATTACCTTGCTGTTTGTTTTGCATTCGTCCCATCTTTGTTCCTTTGTTCCCCGTTTTTATGCCTTTAAAAACATTTATTGAGTACTTTTATGATTCTATTTTATCTCCTTTCTTGGCTTCAGGACCAGGACTTGGGTGGGAAGAATGAGATACTCACCTTGAGTGCGGGATTTAAAGGGGTGTCAAAAAACTTGGCAAGCAATTTAGTGCTATTTTAATTAGTGTTTTTAAAGGTCAAAACTAATGCAAAAATCCATGATGAACAAAATATCAAAGTTTTAAATATAAACACAATCAGTATTTCTGATTTTTCTTTTGGCCTCAGGCTCCAGTATACCTCGACGTAACATTATTGCTGACTGTGCTTCACAGTTTTCTGCTTCATATATGCACGCACAATACGTATATGTGCGTATATATATTTGATTAAATGTCATTTTAGAATTTATGCATCAAATTTCATTTAGGTGAAATTTGTTCATTGTATTATCTAAATTTTCTCTTCTCTCTGGTTTGGTCTGCCTTTTCTCTCATTCTCTGATAGAAATGTGTTTAGAATCTCCTATTACAGTTGTGAATTTGTCTTTTCCCCCTTTTATTTCGGTGAGGCTTTGCTTTAAAGATAGGGTTGGCCATTAGGTGCATGCAAATTTAGAATTTTTACTGTTAAAAATTCTTTATGAAACGTCCCTCTCCATTATTAACAGTGCCTTTTGTTTTACAAAAGTATTTATTGTCTTATGTCAACATTACCTTTTGTTGCATGGCATATCTTTTTTTAATCCTTTTACCTTTTTTTTATTATTATGTTATGTTAATCACCATACATTACATCACTAGTTCTTGATGTAGTGATCCGTGATTCATTGTGCATAACACCCAGTGCTCCACGCAGAACGTGCCCTC